AGCCCTCGGCCTCGTCCTGCTCGCCACAAAATGTTACTGCCGCTCATCAACGGCAACTGTCACAGTTGCTAGGCGACAAGAACAGTCCTCCGTAGGCTAGAATGTTCCACTTAACAACGCTCAGTCCGACCTTCGTGGCCTTCAAAGGAGGCAGCCTCTGAATTGGGACACAGATACTGTGTATTTAAGTTCCTCTTTGTGCACCTTTCAGTCTGGTATTGTTTGTGTGTTATATACCAGACCTTAAAAGAAATGAAGCTGGATCTTGCCTCCATTAATTTCGCTCCAATGGGAGCTCTAACAGATCCAACGGGGCCACGATTTTTATGTTTCAGGGAGGTAGAGACATGGAGGAGTATGTGCAGGAATTAGTTCACCATTCACCTGCAATGTCATGACTCGTGAAGGGGTTTTGGATCGGACTGGACGATGAGATCTGGCTGGTGATGCTATGGGGAAACTCCTACTGGACACTGGCCAAGTACATCAACTTTGCCCTCTGGGTAAATGGATCTTCTTTAACTGTGGGCTAGGTAGACGAGGATCCCGCCGCCAGCGTCCAGCCCTACTCACCATCCGTCACCACCGCAGGGCCAAACCCAGCTACCACATTCACCGCAGATAAGGAGCCAGAGCCCACCACAGACAGAAACCCAGCATTACCCACCATCACTCCTGAGGCTAAGCCCGCAACTGAGTAAGTGCCAGCTGCAGAGTCAGTCCCGGAAGAGATGCCTGAGGTCCCGTCTAATCAGGTGTGTGAGCCGACCATTACATCCGTGCCTGTGGGAGTTTTAGTGGAGCTGGATAAGGAAGAATGGCTAATAGAATGGATTACGGAGGTAGTGCTTCCCACCCTGCCCACCCACGAACCTTCTCTGTCACCGGTCCCCTCCTGTACTAATGTCTCTTTGTCACCACTGGTATCGTCCAGCACAGTGTTGTCTTTGTCACCACCATTCCTGTCTATCCCCAAGTCTATCTCCGCACCCAACCTTCCTCTCCTGTTCGCTCCACCGAAGCAAGGCATTCCCTCTGCCCTTCCTCAGCTGGATTTCTTCAGCCCTTTCGGCTCCGCCATGCAACCTGGATCCGCCTCGGAGCTCTCAGTCACCAGCTCCGCATTGGGATTCTCTGGCTCCACCTCGTCCCTCTGAGCCCTCAGCTCCACCTCGGACTGTAGACCTTTCAGCTCCAAAGAGCTCCCTCGTCCCACCGGCTGCGCACTGGTCAGTCGTCACTCCACCAACACCAAGGACTCCCGGGCTGTCGGCTGCGCTCCATCCCTCAACCCCTAAGGCATCCCTCAGGCTCCACCAGGGTCCTCACTCACACCGGCATCGCCTTAAGGTGATGATACACGGGGTAACTTTTTGAACCAGGTGAGACACATAAATAATCTAAATAGCAATTTGTTGCCCATTCTCAATGTGAACGTGCCCAAACAACAATCGCTCGGCAACATTGCCCAGCAACATTGCTCAAAAAGTTGCCCCGTGTATCATCACCTTCAGTCTTCCAGGCCCACTCAAGCAATGTTGCCGGGTCTTGAGGTCTATTGGACGTCGCCTGGACCTCACTATCTTCCTGCGTCACCTCAGTCGGTCGGGCTCAAATTACCACATTGGCTCCTCCCTCCATCATCGACGTCTCCTGGGTCAGTCTGAAATCTCGTCTACCGTCCGTACCTCCTTGGACCCTATCACCGCCATCTCCTCCATGGCTCCTCCCACCATCAACTCATCCATGGCTTCTCCCGCTCTCTTCTTCACCCTGGTTCCTCCCATCTGCCCCCCTATGGGTTTTCTGCGCCTCGCCGGTGCCTCGTCCACCTCTAGAACATCCTCCCTTTTTTCCCTCAAACTACCCATCACGGTGCTTCGTTGCTATTTCATTGGAAAATTAGTTTTCAGAAAATTATGGATTAGTTTTGTTTTACTTTATTTAAATAAAAGGACTTATATTTTATATTCTCTGCCTCTTCTCTTTATCATGGGACTAACTACATTACAATAATAAATGTTCACAAATTTCTTTTTGTCATTATTTTCATATTATTTTCATAATAAATTATTTGTGTTATTAATATATACAATTAAGTGTTATTTTCATTAATTATTATTCTCATACATACAATTATAACAAGTATTATATATTATAGGGTAATTATATATTGTTTGTTATTATTATTATTATTTAATAACAGCAACAAGAAAAACAATAATGATATTAATAATAATCATTCTAAAAAAAATCCCAAAATGCAGTAGGCTATTTATGTACGGCTTCAGGCAGTGTTATATCAAATGATGTAAGCTTTATGGGGTCATGAGACAGGTTTAAAGTCTGAGAGAGTGAAGCCTTGAATTTTCTCTCAATGGTCCATTGTTTTCAAGACTTTACTTAAAAGGGACACCCTTTTAAGAATGTCCTTACAGCTTAAAATGTCAGGGAATTTGATGATATTACCCTGCAGGAGCGAACAGTTGGATTTGAATTAGCCTGTCAAGTAATTAAAGGGATAATTCACCCAAAAATGAAAATGTTGTCATCATTTACTCTCCCCCAAGTTGTTCCAAACCTGTATGAATTTCTTTTTGCTACTGAACGCAAAAGAATACATTTTGAAGAATATAGGTAACCAAACAGTTGATGGGCCCCATTGACTTTAGTATGGAAAAAAATGACAAAGAAATTAGAAAAGTGGATACAAAAGATACAAAAAAATATTATTTTAATAGATATCACTTTAAACTCTTAGACAGAGTTGATATGCTACAGTTAAGCTAACATCTGTCTTTAAAATTCAATATGGAATTTTACAAATGCAGTCTCATCTTTGTCTGGCAGTTTAAATAGTTCAATTTATATTTAGTTATATTTGGTTATTTATAACTAAAAATACTTATTTATAACTATAATATATATAACTAAATACTTATATTTAGTTCATTTGTGCAACTTGAAGCGTGTTTGCAACGTTAAGTTTGAGGAGTAACATTTTCTTACAACACTGCCACCTGGTGTTCAATATCATTACTATCACGTTTCTTGTTATCGTGTTCGATCTAATCTCTCTGAAATGTATAAAATGCATAATATGCACCATAGTCAGTCTCCATTAAGTAAACAGCATCACATTTATTTGTTACAATAGTAGAGTTTTGACAGGTTTTAAAGAAAAAGCATATTATGGAGCTGCATTTATGCAGTTATAGCTACAATTAAAATGATGATGATGAAAACATCTTGTTTGGCTTTTATTTCAAAACTAATAATTATTTTCTGTAGCACTTATCTGTCATGGGTTTTCTCTATTGAATTAGTTTAAGCAAGAAAATTCTATTGATGTCATAGAATTTTCCAGTTCATAAATTCCTAAATGTAAAATGTATTCCTGTTGGGGGTGAATGCCTTAAAAACATTTTCTATGCATTTTTATTTTCAATGAAGAGAATTACTCCAAGTTTGTGAAATTCAGAGACAATATGATAAATGTAAGGTAACACTTTATTTTACAGTGTCATTGTTACATATGTTACATACTTATAGTAATAACAGTAAATGATGCATTATTACATGCAACTATAAATCGTATACAAAATCGTATACCTCAACAAAATCGTAATCCTACCCTAACCCTATAGCTACATGTAATTTCTTAATATTACCCAGTACATAAATATATACTTTCACCGTAATAATGTCACCTTCAAATAAAGTGTAACCAAAACTCCAACTGATTGCATGTAATCTGGATTATGTAATCAGATCCAAAAAATAGTCTTGTAATTAGACTATATTCTGCTTTAAAATGCTCATAATCAGATTACAGTTGGCCTCCTTTTTTTTAAAATTTTTTTTATAAATAAATTACATGATTATGTATTCACAGAATGGCAGAAAATTATTCATAAACTATTGATTCTGCCTAATTATTCTTGTTTCACAGAGGATAACATGTCAGATATAAAAATAAAAATTTGAAGGTATGCTGCTTTTCTAAACACTGCATATCTAATCAACTCCTGCATGGCAAACAAATTTTGACTTTTAAATATATTTTTTTCCCCAAACACATTTCATCAACTCACAAACCTCCTGCAGTTCTTCCATGAACCCCAGTTTGGGAAAACCTAGTGATGTAATGTTAATGCATTTCATGATGTTGATAACAAAGAATGGAATATATTTTCTTTCTCTTTTCTGTGTTTTTACACAGTAGGCTAATCCCTTTCAAATGTGATAAAAATAACATAAAAGTAATCAAAACGAAGTACATTACCTGAAATATGTCTAATAGATCATGCTACAATATTCTTAATGTAATTTGTAATCAGTAACGGACTGCAATTTTAACAAAGTAAGTACACATCTCAGCATGTATGTCATTATAAATAGAAATTGTAACTATATAACATGTTGCTAAAGGCTTCTAATGTAAATTAATTAAAATTACATTATAAGGTACAGTTGTTCCAACTTCAAATATGATAAATTAATTCAATAAAATAACACCAGGGCAACTGGCAAAAGTTCGATCGGTGCTGCAGTCCTGCTGCCACACTACTGGAAGTCAATTTATTAATCTAATTTACTCATTTTTAAAATATACAAAGCAAAAGCAAAGCTGTTTATTTAACGATTATTTTCTTTTAGAAATACTTGCATTAACACTTCCAAAAAAGAATAGTTAGCCTACTAAAATTATTGTCATTACATTTAAACTGGGCTAACTTAGCACAGGCCTACGTGATGTCATAAATTATTTTACGGGTGTCACAAAAAAATATTTGATTATTATAACAGATTAAAATATGTATAATCTTATTTTATTTACAACATAATATTTTTTTTATCTAAAATTAATAAACAGTGAACTTGGAACATATTTCGCTTTGTAGTAACGAAAAGTCGCCCTTCCTTTCGATACTGTAGTATGGGAGCGCAACTGGTGGGACTTTTATTTTGAAATACAGAATTTCAGTGAAGGCATCGCCGTGATTGACGGAGGCTTCACGGCGGCCGAGGAGGACCCGTTCACAACAAAGGCGAGAGGCAGATTTTTATTTGATCAACAGAGTTTCACCAGACAACCGCCAAATTATTCGGAGGCAGAAATAGAAAAACGGCCGCTATCGTCGTGCTAATTGGGTAAGTGGGTTATTTAGATTTTATTGTGCTCCTTCGGTTAAATGACTTGTTTATAACGACATGCAGAATTATTAATACGTTTATGTGTCATAACAACACATTGACTAGTTGACAGCGGTTAAATTGCGTTTATTTCTTAAAGTTATGCTTGTAAACAATCTGCATCTCTCTCTTTGATGTAACATCTTGGTTGACAAGTTGCCAAGCTAACAGTTATCATGACTGATATGTACATAAGCGACTAGCTCATGTATTGATTTTATAAAAAGAAGTAACAGATGCGCTTTTGTGCGCAATAAGGAACGTGCAGGAAAAAATAAAACCGTCCAGCTATTAAAACAGTCGCTGAAAACACGCCCCGGTGACTATTTTCGTCAGTGTAAATCATGTTTTGCAATACATGACAGCACATTACAGTGTTGATTTTCTTGTGATTCGAGTGTGTATCTATGTAATGTGTATGTAAATTGCAGAGGCTGTAAACACGTCGCCCAGCCCCTTCTAGGAAATCGACGTTTGGCTATAAACAGCGCAAATAATCTGGAGCGGCACGAGCACACACAGACACACACAGCAGCTGACTTCCTGCATGCCGAGCATTTCACTCTCCAACTGGAGAAATTACACGTTAACTTATCTTAATACCCTTACAAAAGTTACCATGGTGCCCATAGTCTCCGCTCCAAAATGCCATAGTACTAACTTACATTTGTTGTTGCTACTGATGACGAGCCATAAAAGATTTAATGAGGTCTGCTTCAGATCGTGTTTTACCATCTCTCTGTCTCTTAAAGCTGCAGTCATGAATTTTTGCTAATTAGCCTTTGCACACAAAGGTAGCATTTTTGAGAAATTTCACAAAAATGATGTACATACATCCACATAAAATGAAGGCCACAGATAAATCAGGCTTCTAGAAAAAGCTGTTTTGTTCTACATGGAGTGGGTCGCCCACTTGTGGGTGCTGCCATGCTGACACCACATGACTAGCATTATTCATATTGTAATATAGAGGCATGCATTTTCTGTAAGCTGCTTTGAAACGATATGTATTGTGAAAAGTGCTATGCAAATAAATGTGAATTGAATTGAGTTATGCAATTGACAGAGATGCATATAATAATTAAAAGTTTACTTCATAGGCCTAATGTTTTACAAAACAGACATATAAAAGCACAAAAGTTATTGAAAGTCCATTATATGGATGCGTTTAGAATGTGATGGAGAAAAACATACATAAAAATGAACAAAACAAGAAACCAACAAGCACTGCTGGTACGAAACAGCTGCAGCTGCTAAACATTTTTGTGAAAGATTTTGAAATTGCCATAGTATTATGGGAGTAATAACTGTTTTATGGTGGAAACTATGGGTAGAATGTTAATATCTTTTTGTAAGGGTAGATATACAAGCGCATTACAATTCCGGTTACACTTTATTTTAAGGTGTCCGTGTTACAGTGTAAGTATAAATTTAAGTATTAGCTAATAATTAACTAAACGTAGGCCTATTTACTATAGAGTTAGGATTGGGGTTTGATTTAGGGTTAGTTGCATGTAATTATGCATGATTTAGAGTTCTTTCTACAGTAACTAGGCTACATGTAGTATGTGTAACAATGACACGGTAAAATAAAGTGTTACCCAAATTTCCTGCAGATATGGGGCACTTTGATATAAAAAGAATAAAATTATGGGTGTGTTAAGCAATCATAACCGAGTGGCTTTCTGGTATTTTGCCATGGAGAAGCTTAAAGAGATTGTTCATTAAATTTTTTTAATTATGTACTCACCCTCATGCTGTTCCAAAACTCCATGACTTTCTTTTTTTCTGTGGAATATAAAATAAGATATTTTGAGAAATGTCTTGGTGTTTTCCCCCCCAGATACAACGGAAGTCAATGGGAATCAAAATAATTTGGTTACCGACATTCTTCAAAATATCTTCTTTTGTATTTCACAGAAGAAAGAAAATGACATGAGGCTGAGTAAATAATGGCAGAATTAATTTTTTTGCATGCACTATCACTTTAATGTTGTGACTGAGACCCCTCTTTAAAATATAGTTCACTCTTATAGCTCTATTAAAGCCAACTCAAGACCACCCAAAGAGGTTAGCCATGAAACTAGGCCAGTCGAGTTTTTACCCATGAGGTTGCCTGTCTGTGGTGAAATTGAGTCTGTTTTTGCAAATGGCCTGATTTATTTTTTTCTGCTTTTTTTCTGCTGTTGAGATACTACACCCATAATGTCAGTGTAAATATGAATACAACTGACACCTCAGGTGTCCATGTAGACAGATGGCATTTGTGGGGGCATAACTTTTGCCCTGCTGAATCCTGCCCCTCGACAGAACCTGCTCGCAGTAGGCCGACAGCAGTTGGCGGAGGGAGCCGGAAGCCCCTAGTGTTCCTGGAGGAAGTATGTTTCTTTCCTCACAAGCTCCTGTGGAGAATGAGTCAGTGTTGTTGAGACAATTAGCCGTCTGCTTCTGATCCAAGACCTGTTTTAATTTCTCTCTCTGGACGGTTGACAAGGATTTGTGTAGAAGATGCGCTGGTTTTAGGTCTGCTCTCAGTGGCGTCGTCTATGCTCTTGCAGGTCTTCTAAAGGGCACACATGTGAAGTGGGACATGTTTAGCATCTGTTTCTGTCAGGCCTCTTCTGTGGTTAAACAGATGAGTTTGTTTTGTAGGTGCTGTTTGGTGGTGGGGATTCGGGAGTCAGTTCCCTCCAAATAACACTTCAGGCCTGTTCCTGCAGGTTTTGACTAAACGTGGTTGTAAAGGTTATACATTTAATAATGATTAATTTTCTATTTGGCTAGTTTTGGCTAGTTCGCCTTTTAATGCTTAATCCTGTTCTGTACGCACATAATTCAACTACATTCTACAGCCGAATTAACTCCCAAAAAATTCAGGTAGTAACAAGTTACAACTGCATTTACAAAAATTCTACGCAGTGTGTACGGAGCCGAACTGAACAACTAGTTGTTAATGATGTATTTAAACATCCATCAGAGATCTTTCTCTCTTCTGTACTATACGCAGTGCAAGAAAACCACTGGGAAAGAGGCTTGACTCATTCGTGTTGCCAGATCTTGTTGGAAACGACACCAAACAAGAAAAATCCAATAATAAACTGAAATAAATCCAAATGCTTTAGATTGAAAATAAGACCAAATATTTGTCCCTCACCTTCCTGCTGTTAGAAATCTAGAAGCGAAGACCAGGAGACTTGGTTTTATCTTCAGGAGGATTCTTTATTGAGAACACGCGCTGTCGGTAGCTGCAGTCATCAAGTCTGACTAATGGAACTTTACATTGTAGTTTATATACATTTCAAGGGGGAGGGATTTACAGAGAGGTGGCAGTTAAATGAAGAACGGGAGTCAGCTCGTTACAGCCGTGATCTCATCAGCATAACAGTGTCATTCAAATGCATAGATGCTAATCCAATCAGCCTGACTATTCAACGACTGGGACAGGGGCTCCAAGAGCCATTAAAGACAAAGGGTGAGAATCTCAGTAATCTGACTCATTTAACTTACAATAGAGAGAAAAGAACTGGCAGGAGTCTCATGGTGGAATAAAAAGATCTTCGGCTAGTTTGCCAAATTGGTCTAGATATGATGTCAATACCCCTCCTAATTAAGGCGCTTGGTTAAGAATACCTGAAACGCTTTCATGATTAAGAAAAATAAAAAAGCGCGATCACTACTTTTTTTCAGATTTTTTGTACTATGGGGTGTCGATTGTTGATGACGCACGACGGTCCTGAGCGCTGAACTAAAAAAAGAACACGTCAGAGGCGAGCGTTCGCGGGCAGTTCGACACACTCGTCTACAGTTTATCGTTGGACCCACCTAGAGAGATAAAATGCCACATTGTGCCAATACATGCCAGCCAATAATGTTTGCGCTGTATTATTGTCTAGATTCTTTATCGGTTACTGGAAAAACTTTCAGTGTTGGCCAAACTAAGTAAGGGATAATGTATAGCGAGGCGACACAAAATATTGATTTAAAAAGGAATTTGATTTAAAAACGATTGTATTGCTTCCGCTAAAGAAAATAGTCCGTTCTGTCTCTGGTTAGAATCCTGCTGTGTCCATAGCAATGCGCTATTTTTCATGGCAACGGTCTGTTATACTTCGCACTTCGCAGCGGTCTGTTATCAAGAAATAACACACCACATTCTACACTGGAATTCAGCCAAGCCATGTAATAATATGTTATTGCATACAAATATACACTCACCTGAAGGACTATTAGGAACACCATACTAATACTGTGCTTGACCCCCTTTCACCTTCAGAACTGCCTTAATTCTACGTGGCATTGATTCAACAAGGTGCTGAAAGCATTCTTTAGAAATGTTGACCCATATTGATAGGATAGCATCTTGCAGTTGATGGAGATTTGTGGGATGCACATCCAGGGCACGAAGCTCCCGTTCCACCACATCCCAAAGATGCTCTATTGGGTTGAGATCTGGTGACTGTGGGGGCCATTTTAGCACAGTGAACTCATTGTCATGTTCAAGAAACCAATTTGAAATGATTCGAGCTTTGTGACATGGTGCATTATCCTGCTGGAAGTAGCCATCAGAGGATGGTTACATGGTGGCCATAAAGGGATGGACATGGTCAGAAACAATGCTCAGGTAGGCCGTGGCATTTAAACAATGCCCAATTGGCACTAAGGGGCCTAAAGTGTGCCAAGAAAACATCCCCCACACCATTACACCACCACCACCAGCCTGCACAGTGGTAACAAGGCATGATGGATCCATGTTCTCATTCTGTTTACGCCAAATTCTGACTCTACCATCTGAATGTCTCAACAGAAATCGAGACTCATCAGACCAGGCAACATTTTTCCAGTCTTCAACTGTCCAATTTTGGTGAGCTCTTGCAAATTGTAGCCTCTTTTTCCTATTTGTAGTGGAGATGAGTGGTACCCGGTGGGGTCTTCTGCTGTTGTAGCCCATCCGCCTCAAGGTTGTGCGTGTTGTGGCTTCACAAATGCTTTGCTGCATACCTCGGTTGTAACGAGTGGTTATTTCAGTCAAAGTTGCTCTACTATCAGCTTGAATCAGTCGGCCCATTCTCCTCTGACCTCTAGCATCAACAAGGCATTTTCGCCCACAGGACTGCCGCATACTGGATGTTTTTCCTTTTTCACAGCATTCTTTGTAAACCCTAGAAATGGTTGTGCGTGAAAATCCCAGTTACTCAGCAGATTGTGAAATACTCAGACCGGCCCGTCTGGCACCAACAACCATGCCACGCTCAAAATGGCTTAAATCACCTTTCTTTCCCATTCTGACATTCAGTTTGGAGTTCAGGAGGTTGTCTTGACCAGGATCACACCCCTAAATGCATTGAAGCAACTGCCATGTGATTGGTTGATTAGATAATTGTATTAATGAGAAATTGAACAGGTGTTCCTAATAATCCTTTAGGTGAGTGTATATACATTATTATCTCTTAAATGTCACTCTTAATTGAACGTCTTCGTTCGTCTTTGGCTCAAAGCCACTTGCTGAGAACTTTTCTTCGAGGAAGCTTCACGTTCATTTCAAGTGAGTGAGATAAAATATTTCAACTCAAAATAATATTTTGTGCCCAATTATTTCCCAGACGTAGTTTTGGTATTGGGGTCGAAGTTAACTTGCCTTGCGTTCGCTATACAACAGTGGGTGATGGTCACACAAGACGATCGGCAGATTTTAAATGTTTTTCCCATAAACAGTAAAATGTTTTTCCCTATTGCAGCGACTTTTTTGTGCATGTTCGGCAGACAGGGTGACAATCCTCGATTAAGTTTCCCTCAAGACTTTTGTAAAAACCAACATATGACCACACCTCAGATTTGGACCTTTTAAAAGGCTGAAAAATCAAACGCTGCGCGCCTGCGTCAGACTGTGGACATGATTTATAGTGAGTTATTAAAATCGCGATAATCAAACACGGTTTTAATGATAATTAAATTTTAAATGATAATACTAACCGCCAGTACATTCTATCGTGGTTTATAGTGAAACCGGTAATCGTCCCATCCCTAAACACACCTTGTAACTGTGTCATTATTTGACCACAGCCCGGTGAACACTGACACACCGCGCTCCCTCTCAGTGCGTGTGGACGCACGCGTCTAATGCATCAGTAAAATGCGATCGGTTAATTTGAGTGTCAAGTTGTAATCACGTATCGAATCAAAGGAAGATTTTATCAGCTGGTTCAGTGGCCAATTGTTTGGAGTTAGAAATGTATAACTCGTGCTGCATATTTAGTGATTTTGCCTCAGATACAGGATTATTCGCTTTAACAAGCAGGTTGTTCATTACTAGAGTTGTTCCGATTCCGATACTAGTATCGGAAATGCCGCCGATACCAATAAAAATTCTGGCATCGGTATCGAGTACTTCTACCCATGTACCGATGCGACACCCTTTTCTTAAACAATAACTAGTTATGCACGCTAGCTTTGCTTAACGCTGCAAATCGGAGATCAATTCTTCTTCGCTGCTCTAAACAGCGGTTGCTTGTGGCAACACAGGAAGTTGTGCTGTTGCCACAAGCAACCACTGTTTAGAGCTGCGAAGAAGAAAGCGCGCACTAGCAGTATCTCCGCTGTTTGGCAGTATTTAAGACTGGACCAACCAACCAGTAAAACGGCAACATGTCTCATATGCCATACTGCAATTTCGAGGGGTGGCACAAGATTAGCAGCTTCAACACTTAATAAAGCGATTTAAGACGCGTCACCCCGCAGAACACGATGGCAAGGGCAGAGAAGGATGAGCCGCGCCAGAATCAACAATCTCTGGAAGCTTCATTCAAACGAAGAGAAAAGTTTTCAAAAGACAGCCAACGAGCGATAAATATAACCGACAAAATTATCGAGTTTATTGTTCTGGATGACCAGCCGCTGTCAAAACTGAAATGCTGTGTATTTAACAAAATTGTTTCTGCACTTTAAGTTATAAATAGGTTATTTTCTTATATTACCGGTATTCATATATCATTTTTTAGATACCTAGATTTATTTGTTGCACTTTTTTTATTAGATGTGTGGCTGCATTTTAAGTTCTTTTTCACTTTCACGCTGTGAAATGTATGTCAGATAATAAAAATACTCTAGTTCACTGTATCTATTTGTTCATGTTTTATTAAGGGATAAGTCTGAAGCACACCATAAAATAATTCTATCAATTCATACAGGGCTAGTATGAATTGCAGCTGTATAGATACACACCCAGGTATCGGATCAGTACATGGTATCGGCCGATACCCTGAGTCCAGGTATCGGTATCGGGAAGGGAAAAAGGGTATTGGAACATCTCTACTGACTATACAGAGAATGAAACACTTCCCTGGCAAAGCAGAGGATAAACTACTGTTAACACACTGTAGCTGTTGTTAACCTCCCCTGATTGAACAGCATGTAATGCTAATCTTCCTTGCCTGAACAGAGGATAACTTTTATCTCTAAAAGAAAACTTTAAAGGATAGTTAACCAAACCCTACAGCTGTCTGTTAACTCTTTTCTGACAGCGCAGAGGATAACAAATTTGTACTGGTCTTAATGGTTCTTTTGGATAGTAGCACTCACTAACCCTTGGTTGTACAGAAAGATTCAGTCTTGAACTCAGTCAGATCTTTGTTGAGCTTGAAGTTTCAATCTGGATTCAGGTGAGTAGCTCTATTCGGGTCACGGCGCCAAAACCGTTGGAAACTCAGAAGCAAAGACCAGGAGACTTGGTTTTATCTTCAGCAGGATTCTTTATTGTAAACACGAGCTGTCGGTAGCTGGAGTCATCAAGTCTGACTAAGGGAACTTTACATTGTAGTTTATATACATTTCAAGGGGGAGGGATTTACAGAGAGGTGGCATTTAAATGAAGTACAGGAATCAGCTCGTTACAGCCGTGATCTCATCAGATCACGTGTCATTCATAGCATCACTCATCAGTGTCATTCAAATGCATTGATGCTAATCCAATCAGCCTGACTATTCAACGACTGGGACAGGGGCTCCAAGAGCCATTAAAGCAAAGGGTGAGAGTCTCAGTAATCTGACTCATTTAACTTATAATAGAGAGAAAATGACTGGCAGGAATCTCGTGGTGGAAACTCTGCTTAACAGCTGATATCATCATAAAATGTAAAACACAATGTACAGAACTTTCTCAGTTTATATACTATTGTATTGGAACCTAAACATTTAATAAATTTGTAATACAACACTGCTTTAATAACTTCATAAACCTGATTGTTTTATGTGACAAGCCTTAAAATGCTTATATTGAGTGGACATGGCAACACTTCAAGAGAATGTTTCACAAAACAGCCTTCCGAGCATAAACATAACACAACGTTTGACGTTTGTTGACAGTGGTTTAGTCAAAATCGTAGAACATAACGAGAATTTGGTCACTGTAATATTACTTTGGTCAAAAATAGTGGATAACAAACATCAGAACATTGGAATCTTTGCAATTGTGGGAGCGAGTCTTGTTCCATACACACACAGAATAATAATTTAGGCGATTCACTCCTCTATTTAAATGCTGTTGTCACTCCTGAAACTCTACAGTGTGTACATGGTCTATATCAGGGGTGTTCAATCCTGCTCCTGGAGGGCCACTGTAGAGTTTAGCTCCAACCTCAATTAAACACACCTGAACCAGCTGATCAAGCTCTTACAAGGCATACTGAAACGTCCAGGCAGGTGTGTTGAGGCAAGTTAGAACTAAACTCTGCAGGACCGCCAAAGCCTATCTGATGAAGTTCTCCATACATTGGACACATCGTTTTCTTTATTCCTGTTCCCAGGAAGCACACCATGTCTGCTATCTGTGGGCCCACAGGCTGAAGAGGTCTGATCGTTCTGAAGAGCTGGGAAGCGAGAGATGGGGAACACGGCCACCAAGTTCCGTAAGGCACTGATCAATGGCGATGAGGTTCTGGCCTATCAGCTTTACGAGGGCAACCCTCAGTTCAAAGAGTCACTAGACCCCAACACCTCATATGGGGAACCGTACCAACACAACACCCCGCTCCATTATGCTGCCAGACATGCCATGACACGCATTCTCAGGTAAGACATAGTTTCTCCAGTAATATTTAGCATTTGGGCATTCTGCTTTGTTTTTATTTATCTCTAGCAATCATTATGGGTCAATGGCACTGTTTTGGGGTCTATTAGGCCTAATGTATTATTTTGTAAAAATGTCATTAATTTATTTAAGTACATTTCATCAATGGCTTGAATACACCTATTTTTTGATGATCACATTTTCAATTTCTGAATTAAAATTAATTTTGATATTTTTTGGGGGGCATAAAATAAAATGCTTCTCTGCCAAATACAAGTCATGTGGTCCAACCGACATGAAAACATTTTACAATAAATAATACCATAAATATAATCATGAAAACCCAAATGACTGTGTGTCAAGGTCAATATGTGTCTTAAAATATCTCATAATTTGACCTTTGTATGACAAACTAAGGTCGGTTCTGGTTGTAAATTTCGTAAAATGTCATGTGGTGCACAACTCAAAGATATAATGATATTTATGAATTAATTTACTTTTTTTCTTCACAAAATATATTTAAAGTAAAAAAAAACATGATTAAGACTTAGATTTATTCAAATTGACAGGAAAATAAATATGATATTACTTTTTGATGGTTACACCTTGACATTTTTTAGAGTCTGTAACTAAAGTAACTGTAACTGTAATTAAATTGTAACTTTTCTTGAAGTTTTTCAAAACCATATGCAACCAACCAACATGAATACAGAGGGAACAATTTGAAGAATTTGGCATGTTTTAAACCTTTCCATCATTGCGGACTCTCCTATATGTCATTGACCCGCATAACAATTGAATCTGACACACTCGTAGGCCATCTGTCAGGCTCCAGGCGTGATTTTTATAAAGGATGATTTTCTTGGTTCTTAAATGCTTTCATACTGTTAGAAGTACTCAAGTCATGTACAATCAATTTCTGCTGTTTTTCCTGTCCAGTTTGAAATGCTGTGGCCTAAAAAGTGAGGAACCTTAGGGGCCAAGCTTTGAAAGTTATTTTAAGGAAAACCAGCTGTTTCAACTACAAATGTGCTGAAGATTCTGGTTCTGAATCAGAAGGCCAGTGTTGCTCAATGTATAATTTTTGGAAAGATACTTGGAAAGCTATATGTTCTATCTGGGGGTGGTGTGATGTCAAAATTATCATCAGCTTATTGTATCGTCAGAATTTTAATATCGATATATCCCTAAAATCTGTTCCTTCAGCGAAACCAATAATTATTCATTTATTTCCCAATATTTAAGTGCTTTAGTTTTTACCATTTATTTGTGACTCATCATGCCATCTTTTCACAGGTCCTTCCTCTTCAGCAAGGATGGGAACCCCAACAAACGTAACGTGCACAATGAGTCCGCACTGCATGTGTTGTGCATGGGGCCACATATCCTGCTATCTGAAGGGGCGCTGCAGCCGCGACTGGCCCGGCCCTATGAAGATGAACGCAGGCGGGCTGAGTGCCTCCAGATGATCCTAAAGTGGACTGGTGCCAAACTGGATCGTGGTGAATATGAGAGTGCAGATGCCAGTGCCACTGATAACAAAAAGAACACACCATTACACTATGCCGCTGCCTCAGGGATGAAGACGTGTGTGGAGGTATGTAAAACGCATTGTAGTCTAGGTGCTTGTATTTGTCAAAATGTGCATGTGCACTGACACAGTTTTTCTGACCCAAATCATGTATAGTGAACGCCTATATAGAGTATAGGGAATATTTTTTGCACACAGCACCTGTCTACACCAAAACAGGTATAGCACGATAGTACTAAGGGTACGTTTAGACGACAACAATGTACTAAAAACATTTTTCCTTTGCTTTTTTGTGCGTACAGTAGTGTTGTCACGATACTAGAATTTCTAACTTCGATACGATACATTGAAAAATATCAATATTCGATACCATTTTCGATACCACAGAGAAAAAAACTGCCACAATATTAAGGGGGTATTTTTTTTATGTAAAGCTAAATATAACAAGTCTAGAACATGACAATGAGGTATATTTTACATGAACAAAAATGTCCTGAGTTCTATCTGTTAATATTTTTTCATTGGACCAGAGCTAACATGATCCGTTGTATTTTTATTACCTACTGTTATCAAAGATTAAAATATACTGTAACAAATGCATTGCTCATCGGTCATAAATGCTGGTTAATACATTAACGTAATTTGATGAACAGATTTAAACGCAAATGTGCGTGAATCACACGCGGAAACAATGCTCACTGGATCGGCATGAAGTCAAGTCACCTTTATTTATATATTGCTTTTAACAATACAGATTGTGTCAAAGCACTTAACAGTATCAAATTGGAGGATAGAGTGTCAGTAATGTATAATAATAAGATTAGGCTAAACATTACATTTTCAGTTAAAGGCATTTTATTATTGAATTCAGAGATGCCATTTTCTAGCTCAGTTTAGTTTAATTAGTATCTGTGTAATCAAATTGATGATAATCGCTATTGAAGGTAAATTGCAGAATTAAATAATAATTTTTTAATAAAGTTAAATAGGCACAAGTTAATTTACATTTGACCACAGTTACAATATTTACAATTTGTCTAATATTCCTCAGTCAGATTATGTTAACTTTAAGAATTACGGTGAAAAACGAGACAACAGACAACAACAATACTAGGCCATCTTGGTTAATGTTTTAGAAAAATTAAAATGAGAAGAGTTACAGTGTTTCCTTTAGGAATCTTTTAGCAGTGGGGGCAGGTCTGTCCAAACAACAAACCTGGAACATTTGGAAATCATGAATGAATTGTTTGTTTTGACAGTAGAGATGATTAAATCATGTTTGCAGAAGCCTAAGAAATCCATTCAAAGAACATTAATTCCTAAAAAGTGTGCATGTTTATTGGGCAACACTTTACAATAAGCTTCAATAAGGTTAATATTAGTTACAGTGGAGAAAATAATTATTTGATCCCCGGCTGATTTTGTAAGTTTGCCTACTTACAAAGAAATGAAGGGTCAATCATTTTTATGTTAGGTTTATTTTAACGGATCGAGACAGAATATCAACCGAAAAATCCAGAAAAAACACATTATGTAAAGCGGTTATAAATTGATTTGCATTTCAGTGAGTGAAATAAGTATTTGATCCCCAAGCAAAACATCATTTAGTACTTGGTGGAGAAACCCTTATTGGAAAGCACAGAGGTAAGGCATTTCTTGTAGTTGGTCACCAGGTTTGCACACATCTCAGGAGGGATTTTGGTCCATTCCTGTTTACAAATCCTCTCTAAATCCTTAAGGTTTCTTGGCTGTCGCTTTGCCATTCGAAGTTTTAGCTCCCTCCACAGATTTTCTATAGGATTATGGTCTGGAGACTGGCTAGGCCACTCCAAGACCTTAATGTGCTTCTTCTTGAGCCACTCTTTTGTTGCCTTGGCGGTATGTTTTGGGTCATTCTCATGCTGAAGGACCCATCCACGACCCATCTTCAGTGTTCTTGCTGAGGGATGGAGTTTCTTGTCCAAGATTTTACGGTACATGGCCTCGTCCATTGGCCCCTCAGTACCCTTAGCAGAGAAACAGCCCAAGAGCATAATGTTTCCACCTCCGTGCTTGACTGAAGGGATGGTATTCTTGGGGTCATAGTCAGCATTTCTCTTCCTCCAAACACAGCGAGTTGAGTTGATGCCAAATGCTCAGTTTTGGTCTCATCTGACCACAGCACTTTCTCCCAAGCCTTCTCTGAATCATTAGATGATTATTGTTAAACTTTAAAAGGGCTGCCTTTTATATGTGCCTTCTTGAGCGGTGGGACCTTGCGGGTGCTGCTGGATTTCAATTAATTGCGGCGTAGTGTGTTACCAATGGTTTGCTTAGTGACTGTGGTCCCAACTGCCTTGAGATCATTAACAAGCTCCTCCAGTGTAGTTCTGGGCTGATCCCTCATCTTTCTCATTATCATCCGTACCCCATGAGGCGAGATCTTGCATGGAGCTACAGACCGAGGGCGATTGATGGGTATTTTGTATTTCTTCCATTTCCGAATAATGGCACCAACAGTTGTCTCCTTTTCACCAAGCTTCTTGCTGATGGTCTTGTAGCCCATTCCAGCCTTGTGCAGGTCTACAATCTGGTCCCTGACGCTCTTTGGTCTTGCCCATGGTGGTGGAGAGGTTGTAATGGAAGATACAGATTCTGTGGACAGGTGTCTTTTATACACACAATGAGCTGACATTAGGAGTACTTTCTTAGCACATAACCGATCTGTGGGAGGCAGAATTCTTGCTGGTTGGTAGGGGATCAAATACTTAATTCACTCGATCAAATGCTAATCAATTTATAACCTTTATATAATGTGTTTTTTTCTGGATCGTTTGGTTGATATTCTGTCTCTATTCGTTAAAATAAACCTACAATAAAAAGACCCTTCATTTCTATGTAAGTGGGCAAACTTCATCAAGCAAAATCATCAGGGCATCAAATCATTATTTTCTCCACTGTAATGTTTGGTATCAAGCTAACATTGAACATCACTTTTTTTTAAAGCTAATGTTAAATAATAAATATAGTAAACAATAGGATAAAAACGTCAAATTATTTCCATGTTTTTTGCCACAAAATTATGTTTTATTATGTAGGGAAAGCACATAATTCTCTTTCTCATTCTCTCTCTCCCACTCAAACACTCATACAGTATGGACACACACTCGCACAGAAACGTGTTGTCAGCGCTGCTCTGAAGATTTTCAGTAAAATAATTTAACAACTCAAAAGCTACATACATTTTTCACTAGCGAGATCATAACTGCCCTGTTCTTGGAGCAGATAAACTTACAGTTTCACTATTACTAGAGACGCTGCCGCCGAATACTACTAGTACTACTAGCTTTAAAATAAGATTGGGATTTGGAATTAGATGTGTAAGAAAGTAACCCTGCACACAAGAGCGTTTTAAAGACAAAAACCTGACAAATACATCATCTTCCCATCATTTTAACAAATGAGACGTTATTATTAAATGTTTCCGAACATAATTGTAAAATCTAACCGTTTCGTGTTTTGAAACCTCTACAGTTTTTTTACCCGAACTCAAACACACACAATTCTTCCACATCCCCATTTCATGAAAAGGAAATGTGTTGAAATTCATGCATTAAATGAACAGTATGTTTTCATAGATCCAGGAACATATTATTCCTCGTATCATGTCCTCTTAAAGGGTTAGACTAGTTCACCCAAAAATGAAAATTATGTCATTAATGACTCACCCTCATGTCGTTCCAAGCCCGTAAGACCTCCGTTCATCTTCGGAACACAGTTTAAGATATTTTAGATTTAGTCCGAGAGCTTTCTGTCCCTCCATTGAAAATGTATGTACGGTATACTGTCCTTGTCCAGAAAGGAAGTAAAGACATCATCAAAGTAGTCCATGTGACATCAGTGGGTTAGTTAGAATGTTTTGAAGCATCGAAAATACATTTTGGTCCAAAAATAACAAAAACTACGACTTTATTCAGCATTGTATTCTCTTACGGTTCTGTTGTCGAGCCACGTTCAGTGATGCTGGTGACGTAAGACGCTGCTGACGTGTAATCTGGTGCGCCCGAGCTTCGTTTACAGTCTGAGGGAGACGCACGCTGTAAACAAAACAATCTTCGCAAACATGTTTAAGGATGTCGACACAGAGGAAGACTTGCATTTTTTTTGCCCAGCCATATTTATTTGAACCCGAATACACGGACACATCAGATACACGTCAGCAGCGTCTTATGTCATCAGCATCACTGCAGACTCGTGAACGTGGCTTGACAACAGAACCAAAAAAAAAAAAAAAAAAAAAAAAGACAACAGAACCGTAAGAGAATACAATGCTGAATAAAGTCGTAGTTTTTGTTATTTTTGGACCAAAATGTATTTTCGATGCTTCAAAACATTCTAACTAACCCACTGATGTCACATGGACTACTTTGATGATGTCTTTACTTCCTTTCTGGACAAGGACAGTATACCGTACATACATTTTCAATGGAGGGACAGAAAGCTCTCGGACTAAATCTAAAATATCTTAAACTGTGTTCCGAAGATGAACGGAGGTCTTACGGGCTTGGAACGACATGAGGGTGAGTCATTAATGACATAATTTTCATTTTTGGGTGAACTAACCCTTTAAAGTCCCACTCCGATCATATTTTGAGCTATTTGTAAACATTCCCAGTGGTCTTTAAATTATGATTATGCCATTTTTAGCCAAACTCACAAAACCTGTGCCGTTTTCTGGGACTTTGCTTCAGCAGAGCGGCAGTAGCTCATTAGCAATTCGCCTCTGCGTTGTGGGCGGAGCCGTTGGCACGGAGATGACCCTCCCCCTCCCCGTTGCTGAGAGCTCTGTCTCTCCCGCTAGCTTACACCCCCAACCTGTCATTACCGGTGCAACAAAAATTGAGAGCAATATTGGAGCTATCCAGCCGTACAGTGCGTTTTCGTTTTAAAACGCATAACTTTTGCAACGATTATGCGCTCCTGCCGTCCACATTACTGACCCTCGGGCTCGAAAACGGAGACTGACCCCTTCAGTCGAGTCCGATGCAAGACACGCAAGTGACGCAACCCATAGGAACGAGTCATGGCAACGACAGCTCAAACCGACAGAAACATACAAGTAAACGTGAATTTTGTCACATTGTCATGTTAATTATAATCAAATGCATTTTGTTTTATTGAAAACAATATTATCATTGATATTTGTTTGAGAGGGGCACTTTCGATTAATTTTAACAAGCTTGTGGCCCCGCCCAGTGGAGTTACTACGTCACAACTCCAGTCTATTTTGAACGGCATTTTAGCGTCTGCTACTGATTCACAGCCATTTGAATGTAGAAATACTCAGAAATACAACTTTGAGCTTATTTTTCTCAAGATATGTCCTCTAACATAAGAAAAATGCCACAAGAACATGTTAACACCTAGAAAAACATTATTTTCATCGGAGTGGGTCTTTAAGTCTATTGAACTGTAACAGTATTTCCCTCCTGACCCCTCTGCAGTTTCTGGTGAAGCGTGGTGGAGACCTGTTTGCGGAGAATGAGAACAAGGAGACCCCATGTGACTGTGCAGAAAGGCAGCATCATAAGGAGCTTGCGCTCAGTCTGGAGTCTCAGATGGTCTTCTCCACTGACCCCCATGCCGAGGATATCGAGGCAGAGTATGCAGCCTTAGACCGCAAGGAGGTGAGCTCTCCAATTAAACTCTGGAATTTCTGGACATTAACATTGGCCTCAAGCCCTGATGTCCAGATGAACAATAAATTGTTTAGAACAATAAAAATATAAGAGTTTATTGCAAATGACTGAAAAGTGATTTCGCTATGACTCAATGACTCAATTTAACTCTGTCTGTTTTTCAGTTTTATGAAGGTTTGAGAGTGCAAGATCTCAGAAGACTGAAGGACATGCTGATAGTGGAGACGGCAGACATGCTGCAAGCTCCTCTCTTCACCGCAGAGGCTCTTCTTCGGGCTCACGGTACGATTGTGTCACAAGATATTTTGCCTCCATTGGCATGTCCAAATTTAATTGTTATGTGTTGAAAGAACTACATATTGGTAGCTGAAAACTGGGTTTTTCTGAGGGCTCTACAATGCAATTGTATGATTTCACTCGCATGTGATTGTAAGAGGCAAAAAAATAAGTTAAGCTCAGATATAATTTCATTGCCTTCTGAGTTTTATGCACCGCCGCTTGCTTGATGCCCTCTGTCACTTTCTCTCACACATGGCACTCACCGTGAGAGAAAGTGAGAGGCTTACACATGCCATGTAAAGAGACCTGAAAGTTGATCATTTGCACATGTTTTTAAGTCTTGCCAATTTTTTTTTAATTTTTTTTTATTGCATTTTTAGAACTCAAAAACAATTTCCATTCATTGGCAGAATAGATTAACAGTATATATATATATATATATATATATATATATATATATATATATTATTAGTGCTGTCAAACGATTAAAATATTTAATTTAATTTAATCACATTAATGTCATAGTTAACTCGCGATTAATCGCAATTAATTGCACATTTTTATCTATTCTAAATGTCTCTTGATTTCTTTTTGTCCCATTCTTTTTTCTCATTTTAATGCTCTTATCAACATGAAAAAGTGGATCAGCTTGCTTTGTGCAAATGTTTTTTATTGAAAACAACATTGGCATATACTGTTCAATTTCACACTAACATTCTCACTTGGAGCAAATAATCTCTCACACAATGTAACACTGTCCATCAATAAAAGGGTGAAAGAAATACTGACGAGGTCCTGATATTGACGAGGGGGCGGAGAATTCGCATCAGCTGTGTGTGTGCTTGGCCATCATCAAGTGGTATTTCAGACTGGACGTGCTGCTATGATGATAGCTCAGTTTACAACAACAAAACACACAGATCACTTTGGTCTTGTCAATGGAACCATTTGGCACCTTTTTAAAAGTAAACTTTCCATTCAGAATCTTATTGGCATCCATTTTCGGCGTCTCGCGCTCATCATCCACTCAAAACGTAACGTTAACCAATTATTTGGCCGGCTCGCAAGCCCAAACAAGTGTGTGCGGCGTCGTGCCTGTTTTGTTTCCGGTCTAGCTGGAAACGTCCTCGCGCGGCGCAAGCCATTGAAATGAATGGGTTTTATAGCGCAGCGCCACGCATTCCGCGCCCTGTTGCAAAAGCATGTGAAAAAAACTACAAAGTTTGCTAGGCCAAAAAGACAGTTAATCGCGCGATAAAAAATTAACGCCGTTAAAATGGGTTTGCGTTAACGCCGTTAATAACGCGTTTAACTGACAGCCCTAATATATATATATACAGCTCAGAGAGTACAAACTTCCATTACAAACTATTAGCTCACATTATGGATAAACAAAGTGCTCATCAGTAAAATCCAAACAACAAAGTCTTGCCAATTTAAACATTCAAGCGCAAGGAGACGTGAAAGAGAACTCAATTTGGTACCCGCTTGCTGTGAGAAGTTTTGTGTGGGCACACATTCGAAGCGCGCGCTGAGAAAGCCATGTCTGACTGCACATGAATACTGATTTGAGTTCTCTTTCATGTCTTCTTGCGCTTGAATGGACAATTTCAAAATGCCCATCTTGGTGAGTATCCTAGTAAACATAGCTGGTTATGTCTTAAGTCAATGTAAACAGTCGAGAAAGACAATGCATGTGTAACAGTATCAGTATATTGGATCCGTGCACCGTCTTAAAGTGACAGCAGCCTAATATTCCTGCTGCTGTCACTTTAAGACGGTGGACGGATCCAATATGTTGTTTCAAACCTGTATGAATTTCTTTCTTCTGCAGAAAACAAAGGAAGATATTTTGAAGCATGTCAGTAACCAGACAGTTGATGGACCCCATAGACTCAATGACATTTAAGCATTTTTTCGATCTTTTCACTCAAAACCCGCTTGACTAAGAACTGATGGGCCATGTAATTTGGTTTGAATGGATGCAGTGCTTCTGACTTTTATGTATATGATGCTTCTGACTATTATTTAACAATCAAACTTGCAAGGGGCGAGAAATTTGTAGAACTTTGTGTGGGCTGGCCGTTTGAATTCTGTGTAAATATGTAGGCATATATTCAGTGCTGGTCTACTTATTAGGTTCATTCTGATGCTATCCTTCCAGTTCCTAACTCATGAAAAATATTGCTTCAGGTGCATTTGAAACGGATATGGTATTGTCCTTGGATAAGTTTAATAAACTGTAAGGTATTTGCTGTACAGCAAATCTAAAAAGCATTTGTAACCTAAGAGCAGACTAATTTTACAAGAGGACTCATGTTTCGGGCTGCTAAACTCTCTGGCACAAGACTCATAATTGGATCAGTGCTTTCTTTAATAATCTCCAATTATGTGAGCAGGCTGTCTAGCAGGCCTTGTTCCAGATGACTAGAACCCATGGGAGAAAAGGGCACAGCTCTGATGTGTGTGCGCGCTGCTATTATTGCCACAGCCTCTCTTGAGACCACCAGCTGAGGCTTTAATATATAGTCTCACCTTCTTTTAATCTTAAACCCAAATTCACAGTTTTGACTCCTAAAACTATGATACTAAACACATTAGAGTACAAACAATTGGGCTTGCTGATGTAATGCATTTTGAGGATTTTCATTTGGGAAAACCTTGCTTCTTTCTTTGGAAGTAAGTTTTATTTGGTTGTAATTATTTGTTTAGCCTTGGACTATGGACTGTGTTATCTGTCTTTTTCTTTCTGGAATGTCTCCAGGATTTCCTCTTACAAGTGGCATTTCTTATCTATTCGTACCCTAGCGCTTTTCATTGATGCTGACCGATAAGTTAATTCAAAGATATCAAAGTATATGTCCTTTTTTATGTCACCACTGTCCCATTGTGTAGCCTTGAACAAGAGGGACCTTTGTTCTGTTAGCAGAAAACTGGAGCTTGGATCTAGTTCAAAACTCCTGCTTTTTATTAAAGAATTAAATGTCTTTTTGCACTTATTATGGATTGAATGTCTTGACATGTGTTTTAATAGCTTTTTTTCCCTAAATTGTCTTATTCTTAGTCCTGTGTCAAATGGCATTTTTATTTGTTTTTTGTTTAATCAAGTTTTAGATGACTATCCCCTGGTTTCACATACAAGGTTTAAACCTAGTCCCAGACAAAAAAATGCATGTTTGAGCTGTTTTAACTGAAAGCAACTTGTACTGACATATCTTAAAATATGTCAGTGCCATTGTTTTGTCTCACGATGCACATTTTGTAAGGCACGTTTAAAAAAGCTACTTAAATGTCCTAATTGAAATAAGATCCAATCCTGACTTAATCTAAGCCCTGTCTGTAAAACCAGGCCTAAAAGCCCGGGTATTTTAGTCTAGTTTTAGTCAATGAAAACTTTAGTCATGCTGCATAACAGTTAAACTGATAACAACTAGTTTGCTCCAAATTGATTACTGATCATGTCATTTTTTTAAATTTCTTTTATTTCATCAGAATTATTGCACTTTCACTTACAAGCACAAATCAAGACAACGTCAACTCATAAGCTTGATATATTTGACTTATATACTCAAGTTTCCTGGTTTATAATATTATCATATAAATCAACACTCTCTCTAAATTATGAAATCTGGTGAAACTTCTCTCAAAAAGCTAAAACACTGAATTTCCTAATAGTAATCCCAAATTACGTTAATGTTTTTCAGTTAAAACAACAGCAAAAATTAATTTGTTGTCATGCAGAGATTTCGTAAGCAGCTTTATTCTACAACCAGAATTGCAAATAATATGGTCGAGATCCATGTTTGGATTTATTACAGTTCATCTCTAAGAAGGTTTGAATGCAGGTTTAGTCGCAGCAGTGTAGTTTTTTTGCAATTTTATTTGAACAGAATATATCTTTAATAAGATTTACTAGCTAGTAGCCTGCTTCACCTCCTTTTTGTTCCTCGCATGTGGGAGTATACCAACCATGACTGGGAGGTTTAATTGGATGACAATCAAGTTTTCTCATATCCAGTGGGAAAACAACCTACTAAACATCTGGGGGGGGGGGGGGGGGGGGGGGGGGTTTGGGCGGTTTCCCACTCAGAGGAACAGCCTTGTTGAAACGGTTGAATCATTTGTAAATTCCAGCTGATTCAAAACATTTGAAATGTGAAAGAATCAATCTATATTTTTAGAATTGGTGTGACTCTTCCAATTGTTGTTTTTTTGCCAAGCACACTGACCCAAGTATGCCTTTGAAATTTAGACTGGGACAGAGAGAAACTCCTGGAAGCTTGGATGTCTAATGCTGAAGACTGCTGCCAGCGCTCAGGTGTTCAGATGCCCACTCCCCCGCCTAGAGGCTACAACACCTGGGACACCCTGCCTTCACCCCGTACGCCTCGCACCACCCGCTCATCTATCACCTCTCCGGACGAGATCAGCCTGACCCCTGCTGATGACGATCGCTCCCTGGTGAGGGATCAGATTTGGTTCTCTATTAGTAATATTTGTAGTTAATTCTACAGCCTCTTCTGTGGAGATGATATGCAATAGTTTGTTTTTCATTTTTTTTTGCAGTCTGTGTAATAAAATTTAAATGATTAAGTGATAAATTTGGGTGGTGTAGCAATGGGGTTAGATTGGGGCTACTAAAAGTTTGTAGGTTCAAATCCCATAAACAAAACAAAAAAATATGTTAAATGACACACATATACATTATGTATTTAATCTCACTTTATTAACCATTGTCTTTGTTGCTGGCCTTCGGTGACCCAATTTAATTATACTAATAATAATCAAAAATGACTTTAGATAAATATCACATTTGTTTCTTTTTTTTCCCCCTGAAGTAGTTGGCTGCATCTGAAATCACATACTCGGAGTTGATACTTATTTTGAATAACTTTACAAATAGGTACTTCAAATCCGGACGTTCTACATTTGGCATATTGTCATTATCATAAGACCTACCAGCATCAGTTGTGTCACTTCACTGCCATTCACAAATCCTTTCTTGTGGCCTCATTGGATAGTAAAGTGTACATTTTCGGTCATCCGAGTACTTTTTACAGGCTATACAGGTGTGAATTTGCATTTCCTAGACTGAGGTTTATTCATTTCTCTGTTGGTGTGAAATAGCCTTTACATTTGCCAAAAATAGATATGTTTTTTTGTTATTAAAAAAAACAAACAAGTAAGGCCAGCCCAGATGAGAAAAAGTACCATAAAAGTAACGTAATGCATTACTTTACATAATAAGTAACTAAGTAATGCAATATTGTAATCCACTACTTTTAAAACTATCTTTCCTCAACACTGCTCTCAGTATAATATATTCGAGTGTCTTTTTACACCTGCTTTCTTGGCAGAGGCTATTTACCCCCCCAGGGCCGGCGCTAGCTATAGGCAGAGCAGGCGATTGCCTAGGGCCTCGGGCTTTGAGGAAGGGGCCTCCATAACCGTAACATCCCCTATAGTCCACCAGACGGGCAGAAATACTAGCCTCATTGGATATTGTTGAATTGTCACACATCTGCAGTTAAACCAATTAATGTTTCCGTTTCAAAGCGGGTGCCGGCTTCTGAAAGTGTGTGTAACGGACGCATCCATCAGGCGCTGCGAAGCAAAAGCCTAAATAGGCACGCAAAGAAGCACAGCTCGTAATGCAGGTGTGTGTGAGTTGTCGTCATCTATTTTGGAGTGATTGCAATGTATTCTAAATATATAAACTTGTAGCTACTGTAGATCAGCGTCATTTCTGGAAAAATCTTTCACCGCTTTATTACGTCTTTAAAAGAGCGCGAGCGTCATTAACGTGCCCAGACACGACGCTTTGAATTTGCGCGTACAATGAATAACATCGCGTCGGGAGCTGACTAAAAACGCTACAAAAGTAAAAGTCAAGACGTTTCTATTCAAAGTTAAAAAGCCAACACACTACAACATTTTTAAATGTTTCAAATAAAGGAGAAGATGGATATCTTCTAAATTCTGCTGATGATTAGATTATACCCTGACATCATAGCCTACCTACGCCAATAATATCAGTTTAGATCTTTTTGTTCTAATCAGTAGCGATCGTGTCTTTCTCTTCCACTTGATCTGTGTATAGCATATTTAAGCTAACAACGCAATGCATAATATCATATTACTTATATATTAATAATATGACAATATCTGCAGTCAATATTAATTAAATGGGAGGGAAAAATCCTGCCCATAGCTATACCGCAGCTAAAAAAATGATAAAAGCACTTAAATGATAAAAGGCTATATTCATCTCCTGAAGTGGTATTCTGGAACTGTGAATAAATTGAATAAAACAGCAAAATAACAACAATAACAATAAAATCTTCATTAAACAAAAAAGAGATTACCTTAGATAAAGTTTGATTAATATACAGTACTGGTAAAAAGTCTGGACCAATTACTATTTTTAATGTTTTTGAAAGAAGTTTCTTATTATGCTCTACAAGCCTGCATTTATTTGATCAAAAATACAGAAAAAAACAGGAATATTCAGCAAGGATGTGTTAAATATATAAAAAGTAATAGTGAAGACTTTTTTCAAACAAGTTTTTAATAATCAAAAAATCCTGAAAAAAAGGTTATCACAGGTTATAAAATAAATATTAAGCCATTGCTAACATTTGATAATAAATCAGAATATTATAAAGTTTTCTGAAGGATCACGTGACACTAAATTCAGCTTTGCATCACAGAAATATATTTTAAAGTATAGGAAAATAGGAAAACCATTATTTTACATTTTAATAATATTTAACTATATATTTTTCTGTATTTTTGATAAAATAAATCCAGGCTTGATGAGCATAAGAGACTTCTTTAAAAAACATTAAAAATAGTAATGTGTCCAAACTTATGTACGGTGTAAGTAAAAATACTTTTTACTGGGGTGGTGATGGCGCAGTGGATAAGACACATGCCTTTGGTGTTTGAGACCCGGGTTCGAATCCACTGCGAGACACCAATGTGTCCCTGAGCAAGACACTTAACCCCTAGTTGCTCCAGAGGCGTGCGACCTCTGACATACATAGCAATTGTAAGTCGCTTTGGATAAAAGCGTCAGCTAAATGAATAAATGTAAATGTAAATATACAACATTTAAAATTAAATGTTGTATATATTAAAAGGTTAGGAATCATATTTGTTTCAAGAGTTTCAAGAGGGGTGGGGGGCCTCCAACATGAATATTGCCTAGGGCCTCCAAATGTCTAGAACCGGGCCCTGCCCCCACCATTGTCTGATTGAGCCAGACAAAATTACAAAATAAATCCCACTGGAGAGTAAGGTAGGCTGCGTTAACTTTCGACGCGACTGACCCAAGTTCGTTTTCTGAACTCATTCGTCTCCCTTTTCCCATCGAATAGCAGCTCAGAGAGGCATTTATTTTAAACAAAAATCAAGCAAATATTTGAAAAGTGAAAATAAAGTGCCTTGGGTATAAAGTGTTGGGTTGAACCTGCTTTTCCTGCATCCTGTGCTTCTGATAGCCAAATGGCAGACATCAGTTAAGTATTGGAGTGCTATCTAAGGGCTGGGACACAATAAGGGCTAGTTTTTGCCGTGTGTTCAGCTCTTCAGCTTTAGTCGGACTTCCGTTGGCTTTATTCTGGCCGGTTGGTTAACTGGTTAGCTTTGTAAACCAGTGCACGAAAAGAAAAACGAAAGTGACAAAGCAAGCAAACGCTGAAGAAAAGTGGGCACACAAAGAAGGTGCTTATAAATGTATCTACATCTTTATATTCCAATATGCTAATATTTTCATAGCGGCATGGCCATATGTAGCCTAATTAATATAAGTGAAGACAAACTGATCTGCATGATTCATATTCAAAATGGTAAGCAAGCGCTGCTTTATTTACAGTTTGTATATTCACATTCCTAGTTCACGTTCACTTTTATGAATGAACGTACATGCTAGTTGGCCGTCGGCTGTAGTTTGAGTTTTTTTTTGCCCAGACACCGCTGACGTGAGCTGTCACAACCATTGGCCGCTAGTTCTTTTACCTAGATTTGGTGTGTACCAGCCTTAAAATGATAAAATGGTTCAAAAGTAAGCTTTCCTTACTCACTTACCAGCATATCACCCAGGATTATCTATATTTTTCAGAAGACCTTTAAAATGCTTTGTGAAGTGAGCATGGTTCATGAGCTAACAATCGGTTCTTTCACGTATCAATAAAGAAGACATTGTAGTCTTAAAACGGGTTCCTTTCGGTGCATTATCACCACTTTCACAAAGCCAGTGAAAGCCTACACCAGAAATTAACTTGATACTCACTGAATTGGTATGAAGAGTTGGCTAAATTTCTTGAATAGTGCAGTTTGTCATGAGATGAATCGGCTAAATGTGATTTTATCAAACGTTTATTATTCTGATCCATTTCATACTGCTTCATCTATGTATAATGTATTTTATGTCTAGGTATACATTCGATTTGCTCTTACTAAGGTTGTTTTGTTCTCCGCTGTCAGTGCGGTATTTGTATGTGTGCAGCCTCCATGTTTGAGGAGCCTGTTGATATCCCATGTGGTCATGAGTTCTGCAGAGCATGCTGGGAAAGGTGAGCATTTTCCTTATTAGAGCCTTTCAGCATTTTAGTCACATTACAGTCACTGTCAGTTCTCACTACTGCTCTAATATCATGTAACAGTACGTTGTCCTTGGCAGTTTTCTGAATCTGAAGATTCAGGAGGGGGAGGCCCATAATATCTTCTGCCCAGCCTATGACTGCTTCCAGCTGGTTCCTGTTGAGGTCATTGAGAGCATTGTGTCCAGAGAGATGGACAAACGTTATCTGCAGTTTGACATCAAGGTATAATTACATGATCAGATGCACATTAGTCTGAATTATGTGGATAGATGTCATTGTAATTGTATTATTTTGTGAGTTAAACATGAGGATAAATTAAGAAAAACAGCAGTCAGTCAGCATTCGGCCAGAGTTTTGATTTAAACCCTGTGATTCTGCCTTCATAGGTGGTTTTCCAGTCTCACAGATCAGTTCTCAGTGGAGTTTTACGGTTTAATGTTATTGTGAAGTCAGTTCGGAACAGTGGAACATTGAAATGGGAGCTGAGAGGATTGAAGTAACTGTAACAATGGCAGGTCTCATCTGAAAATGTCTGAGAATGACACTTCTCTCGCTGGGGAGTCCCAAGCCTTTCATTATGTTGCCATGGTGATGTTGACTCTTCCACAGGGGTGTCTGCGCTCTTGCAGCCATTTTCAGGGTCAGAGTGTACTGACGGACTTCTGGAGCAGTGGGTAAAAATTAACTTGCATCCCGGCATCATAACAAGACTCAGCAAATTAGTTGAACCTTAGAGTACAACATATTTTAGTTTAGTTCTGTTCAGTTAACAAAAGTTTAGGGCAAATTCTCAAAACTTCACATGACTAAAATAAGCTCTTTTTATATTAATCTGAAGTTGATGCTATTTTATTATGTTTATATTTTATTTGTATTAAGAGTTCTGTTGGTTCAATGGTCAATATATAACTTGCAATTCAGAAGATTGGGGTCAGTAAGACTTTTTTGAAAGAAAGTAAAACTTTGATTCCACAAGGGCACATTAAATTGATCAAAAGTGATTGAAAAGCTGTTGCAAAAGAAGCGGCACAACCTTTTTTAACATTGATAATAATAAGGAAATGTTTCTTGAGAACCAAATCAGCATATTGGAATGATTTCTGAAAGATCATGTGACTGAAGACTGAAGCTTTGACAATAAATGCATTTAAAAATATATTCAAATAAAATAGAAAAATAGTTATTTTAAATCGTAATAAAATTTCACATTGACAATATATTACTGTTTTTACTCAAATTAATGCAGCCTTGGTGAACATAAGAGACTTCTTTTTAAAAACATAACATTTTTTTACTGGCCCCAAATTTTTTAATGTTAGTGTAGTACATAATTACAATATAAATATATTATGTATTTAAAGTATAAAGTATTTAAGAAAGTCTAGTATTTAAGTCAGTAAAGTACTTAAATATATATATTTAAAAGAAATATATATATATTTTTAAAAATTTATTTTTGGATTTATGCCTTTAGACTGTACAGCTGGAGAAAGGACAGGAAGTGAGGTGGGCGAGAGAGGGGGGCGGGATCGGGAAAGGACCACGAGCTCGGGACTTGAAATCTGGTTGCTCAAAGTGCAACCACGCTACCTGTTGGAGTTCTGCCCATGAGGCCATCGCCTCCTACAAATTTTAATTTATATTAATCTGCAGCTGTTTAGCTTGGATATTTGCAATGTAACATTTTATAGATTTTATCTCATCTAGCTCTTTGTATCTCATAATTTGGCATACATTTATATATTATTACTCATTATGCAAAAATATTTGACTGCTCAATGCTGCATTTGACCAATCGGATCAGAGAATTGCAGAGAGCCACGTAATAAATGAATAAAGGAAATGTTTTATGTTTTAAATGACTCCTTTACTTGCTCTCTCCTCTGTTCTTCCTTGCTCCTTCTTTTTACTACTTCTTCTCCATCAGGCATTTGTTGAGAATAATCCTGCCATCCGGTGGTGCCCGCGGGCTGGCTGTGATAGAGCGGTGCGATTGGCCGGGCAGGGATCAGGTGGCAGCACCTCTGACCCGCTCAGTTTTCCTCGCCTCCAGGCCCCTGCGGTGGACTGTGGAAAAGGCCATCTCTTCTGCTGGTCAGTGCCAGTCACTGATACAAATCTCAAAGCCATAGTTCCAGAAGATTGAATTTATGATTCTGAACAACCCCAGTTCACTAGAACATGATTTAAAGGGCTCTTATTCAAGAATGCGTGTTTGTATGTTTGTATGTTCTGCTCGCAGTGATCTCTGCCGATGCAGCTGGCTGTGTTTCTCTTCCCCACAGCTCTGGTCCTTATGTCCCCAACACACAAACAGATAGACACATACACACACCCACACAGTGGGCTCGTACCTCATCACTGCCTGTGCCAGATCTGAGCATTATATTTGAGTCAAAACACACTCCTCCCTTTCTCATACATAAACATTTAATCTGTCTGAGTGAATATGGATTGAATCTAATATGGAAGAGAATTCCCTAGGCTGAAGCTGTCATTTAAAGGTATTTGCTGTCAACAGCCTGCCAATGTTGTTTAATAGCAGTGGTTCTCAACTTGTGGGTCACAGTTCTGTTCTGAGTGGCTCGTGGATGGCAGGAAAAAACAGTTTTAAATGTTAAACTAGAACATATCAGTCTCCTGAAATTGGAGGGTAAAGATCCAAAACTGTTACGTTACACCATGTTAATATGTTAGCATAGATTAATCTTTTGCTCATGTTTGACACCAATTTATCGAAATGGAATTTCCCTCATTCTTGGGCCCGACATCATGCTGGTGTTTCTCTTCACAGGGAGTGCCAAGGAGAGGCCCATGAACCATGTGACTGCCAAACTTGGAAGATGTGGCTTCAGAAAGTCTCTGACATGAAACCAGAAGAATGTAAGCATGTTTTCCTGTATACTTTGCAGTAACCACCTAGATACATTTTCTGAAGTGCTGTTCCTACCTGTCCAAAAATGGTTTTGGACCTGCAGCATCTTTATTTCTGTCTTTTTCCATTTCAGTGGCAGGTGTAAGTGAGGCGTATGAAGATGCTGCCAACTGCCTGTGGTTACTCACCAACTCCAAATCTTGTGCCAACTGCAAATCTCCCATTCAGAAGAATGAAGGCTGTAACCACATGCAATGTGCCAAGGTTATTTGTGTAATAACAATAATAGGATTTATTTATATACCAGGTTAAGTATGGGGCGGAGACATGGAGTTTTTCAGAGGTGTAGAATGCAGGCTTGAAAAGAGAGTTGGTGTGAAATCTGGAAGTGAGCAAAGGGTCAAACATGATACCAATGGATTTTAAAAGGGATTTTCAAAATCTTAAATCAATATGGCCCACTTAGTTTTAATTCTGCTCTAAAAAAATTATTCCCTGTGCCGCTGAACAAAATGAGTGGGAGGGTGTGTATCAGAACAGGTGGTAAAAAAAACCCTCATCAGCAAAGCAGTTATAACTAAGACCATGATGGCTTGTGATTTGACAAATAGAAAGTTTATAGATTATGAAAAGGAGAGGGCCAAGAACAGAACCTTGGGGGACACCTTGACTTAACCACCTTGTCAAGTCAAGTCAAGTCACCTTTATTTATATAGCGCTTTTTACAATACAGATTGTATCAAAGCGCTTCACAGTGATAACATGAAAACAATATAACAAAAACAATATAACAATATAACAAAGTTTGTTTCTAAAAGAAATTGCGTCAACGTCCACCTTAAGTAAGGCAGATCAATAATATTATTGAATATTAAATGTTAAATGTCCCCAACTAAGCAAGCCAAAATCCAAGGCAACAGTGGCAAGGAACCAAAACTCCATCAGGTGACAGAATGGAGAAAAAAAACCTTGGGAGAAACCAGACTCAGTCGGGGGGCCAGTTCTCCTCTGGCCAACGGAAGAACAGTGCATGATTCGGGCAGCATTACAAGTCAGATTGGATCGGAACATTTAGAGTATTTTTGGAAGTCCAAGTATGCACGCCGGTCTTAAGACGAGTTGTTGAGGATCAGTGCCGTCCACCATAGAGAGTCCATATCGCCCGTGTTGAGTCGTCACTTCATAGGCTTTGTGATTGGAGCATCTGAAGTCTCCGTGAGAGGCTGGATACAAACTGGAGCTGACGAACGCCATTTAAATAATTAGCGTAGCTGCTGTTCATAATGATGATTTCCATAACACAGGCGTAAAAGACAAAACATGAAGACAGTGACTCTTGCGTCCCAAAATCACCCCCCTCCGTCCCCCACTCAACTCAGCCCAGCTTACTGACCTCTACGTCCCTCCTGCTGCTGAGACCTAACCACAATCTCACAATCTCTCCGCAACCCAACCATACGCGCCAACCCGTTGACTAAGGCTGTCGAGCCCCACTGGTGCGTGAATAGGCAGTTTCAGTGGACAACGGTTCCGTATGGCATACTACCTACCGCAACACAATATCTGCCCAACCACCCGTCATTCACGCAATATACACAGGAACGTAATAACTGCAAATACTATGCAACCTATACAGATAACCTACAGTCTCTTCAAGTTTTATAGTATTAAATGCATTTGATCTGATTCAGCAGTATAATAAAAGGTAAGCATTATGTAAATGCTTGGCTAAAAAGATGCGTCTTTAATCTAGTTTTAAACTGGGACAGCGAGTCTGAGCCTCGAACAATATCAGGAAGGCTATTCCAGAGTTTAGGAGCTAAATGTGAGAACGCCCTCCCTCCTTTAGTGGACTTAGATATCCTAGGAATGACTAGAAGCCTCGAATTTAGTGATCTTAAAGAACGCGATGGATTGTAGGGCGATAGAAGGTCCATTAAATACACAGGAGCTAAACCATTTAGGGCTTTATAGGTCAGTAATAGTACTTTGTAATTGATACGGAACTTGATAGGTAACCAGTGTAGAGATGATAAAATTGGTGTTATATGATCATATTTTCTTGACCTAGTAAGAACTCTAGCGGCTGCATTTTGCACTAACTGTAGCTTGTTTATTGAGGATGCAGGACAACCGGCTAATAAAGCATTACAGTAATCTAGTCTCGAGGTCATGAATGCATGAACTAACTTTTCTGCATCGGAAACAGATAGCATGTTACGTAATTTAGCAATGTTTCTAAGATGGAAAAAGGCCGTTCTTGTAACATATGAAATATGATTTTCGAAAGACAAGTTGTGGTCTAGTATAACTCCCAGGTCTTTTACCGTAGAGGATAAAGTAACAGGACATCCTTCTATATTAAAGTTGTATTGTAAGTGGTTTTGTGGATAGTTTTTTGGACCAACAAGTAATACCTCGGTTTTATCTGGATTTAGTAGCAGGAAATTATGCGTCAATAACACGAAGTTTATTGACGCATAAACCAACACCTTGGTTATGTTTCTCAGTAGAGATGAAATATTATCTTCCAGTAGGAAGTAAACCAGGAGGGAATTGTGCAGACATGGCTGTGAGCCAGGAAAAGTGTAAATCAAGAAGATCAAAAAAGTGGAACTTTGGATGAAAACCTGATTGGAAGGATTATTTGAAAGCGCTGAATGTAAGCTTTGCCGCTTATCATTATGGTCTTTCATTTTATATCATAATTGAATGTTGTTGTAAAGATTAAGATTTGTTTCTAAAGGTTCTGCCTCTGCAACAGCAGGTTGACGTTGAATCATTTTAAGAATAATAGATGAGGAAATCTTGATAAATCTCTTTGATTAAAGAACAAGAAATGCATATTATGTGCCTTAGGATGTAATGCTTTACTGTAAATTCAATCTTGATCATCCTGCAACAAGGTTACTAAACAGAGACTTTGCAAATACTAGCACTCCAAAAATAAAAAGTGAGAGAGATAGTCTCCTAGCAACACACATAATCCCTGCTGTCAGAATCCCACAACTTCCAGTGTGCCTCCTGCTAGACTGATAAATGCATTTGCTAGTGACATAATGAAAGTTGACTTATGGTTTGTTTTAGCATAGGTGTTATTAATAAAGAATGTTTGTGTGTCTGTATAGTGCAAGTATGATTTCTGCTGGATCTGTCTGGAAGAATGGAAAAAACACAGTTCCTCTACAGGAGGATACTACCGTTGCACACGCTATGAGGTCATTCAGCAGGTGGAGGAGCAGTCTAAAGAGATGACTGTTGAGGTACACGTTATTTACTCATGGTGCTCATGCTTTTTATATGAGTTCTATACATTTAAAGCACCACACAGATGCAAAGGGCATTTATAGATTTTTTTTAAACATTATTAGATTGATAATAGAGCTTTTAATACTGAAGAAAGAAAAACATCTCACTAATGAGTATGCCTGCACTTTTACACACTTAAATATTATTATTGTTATATTATTATTTGCAGGCAGAGAAGAAACACACCAACTTCCAGGAGTTGGATCGCTTCATGCACTATTACACACGCTTTAAGAACCACGAGCACAGCTACCAGGTAAAAGTCTACAAAGATCAGCCTGATTTTATGTACAATCTTCGACTAAACACAAATATGTCTGGTTCACAATGCAGCTTAGTCTGGCCAAGTACTGCCTTCACTGGAAGAGACCGTCTGACCGTTTTTGTTTTTACATGCTGTTTATCAGAAAAAGATTATTCCTTAATAATAGACTGGTGTGAAACTGTTAGTTTTATCAACCCAGTGCATTAATCATGACTTTTTCTTGGTGACTTGTTAAAGACCCTGTGTGTCCTTACTCGCAGATATTGCATAAAGACAGCCAATCAGATTAGAGCTTGCCAGATCATGAAAGTTATTTTCCAGTTTTGTAGAATATGGGGTCAATGAGCAGAGTTTTGGCAGTCTGTGGACTGACATTAGATCTGACATGATGGCAGAGATGGGGACTCGAGTTTGAGACTCGGACTCGAGTGCGACTTAAGTCCCACACACAGTGACTTCAGACTCGACTTGAGACTCGTCCTCGAAAGACTTCAGACTCGACTCGGACTCGAGCTGCGGGACTCGTGAACAATGTTTATTTTTAGGAAACGTCTGATGAGCTCGCTGTTATCCCCCTCCCTCCGTTACCTATAACCTGCCTACGTAACCACGTACTACGTGGCCTATTGCTGGCAGCGCGCGCGACCACACATGAGAGGATAACAAACAAAAAAGTTCGACTGCACCGGCAGCTGCTGTGCCATTCATCGTTAGCTTTGGGTTCAAAAACTTCAAACAAGACGCGCTAAAAAGAAGCGCTCAATGCAAAATATGCAGTATCACGATAAAAGATTCTGGCTCAACTACATCTAATTTTATCAGGCGTCTAAAAACGCACCCTGATAGGTGAGTAAACATGTTTAGCTCAGCATTGACCATCTACCGTTAGCTTGCTTATTGCTTTAGCTACCTAACGTTACGGGAGGTTAACTCCGATTGTCTTCCTTATGAAATATGAATGAGCGTTTGTTTAATTGCCAAACTTGTGGTGGTCGATTAAGTTAACGTAATGTTAATCATTTACGTGCCGCTGGCTGCCCGTTGTCTACAAACAGGTTACAGGATTATTGTTGTTTATGTAACGTTACAGTTTCATTTAGTTATGTAACAGACTTTGTTAGACTCTGTTATGACGCACTAATTCTGGATAGACTGGCGCTCGTTGTAGGTATATGCGCAATGTATTCTTCCCCTAGGGGCTTGCCGTATATAGGCATGGGCATGCGCACTTGATACTAGGGTGTCTGGTTTTTTTTTGAAGTGTGTGATCTGATGTCTAATAAAGAGAAGAGAAGTTCCAACTGCTACCGTTTTATTGTTTTCTTATTTCTGAAGTGTTAGGCGAACCCTGTATGAACGCTCGGTCACATTGGTGGCAGCGGTGCTGTTTTGTTTTATTTGCGTTTACGTGGTCCAGAGTTACGGCGGGTGTTTAACTAGTTAGTTTAGTGAAAAGTTCTTAACTGAGTTAGCACGCGCGGGTTCAGCGTCGACGCGGCCATCATGTGGTATAAAGGCGATGATGATTTTTATTCGAGACGTGACCGCGACAAGATCAACAGGCACGTGAAAATCGAGCTACCGCCGTCTTTCTCTGGTGACGAGAAACAGAGTTTTCTGTGCTGGGCGCGGCAGTTCGAGGTCGCCGTCAGAGCTCTTACAGAGGGTGATGGCCCTGCGTCGGTTAATTATGAGCTAGTGAGGATTCTACCAACACGTTTAAGCAACGCGGCATTTCTTCTGTGGGACAGCCTTCCTAAAACTGTTCAGGGTGACTATACGGCTGTAAAGGAAAGACTAAAGGAAGCTTTTGGGCAGAGACAGTTTATGGATCGCTTCAGAGCCAGTTTATCAGCTCGCCCTCGTGCGCCGCGGGAAAGTTTGGAGGTGTATGCAGCTGAGATTAGCAGGTTAGTGGACGAGGCTTTCCCTGAATATGGCGACAAGGCCCAAAGAGAGGAAAAGTTTCGTCGTTTCTTGGCCGGTTTGGATCCTGTGCTCAGATCTAAATGCCATGAACAGGGAGCAACGGATTTGGAGGAGGCCGTGATAATTGCAGGTCGGTGCGAAAATGCCAGAGACTCAATAAAGACTGATTACATGCCTGTTAATGCTGGCTATGGTAATATTGATGGTGGTGCTGTGGCTGCGGTTCACTCTGTGACTGATAATGGAGGACTGTACAGAGCAGTGGATAGATTGACGGAAGAAATGAGAGATATGAAAATGGAACTGAGGCGCTTGGGTGATGAAAACCAAAGATTGAAATCCAGTGTGAGTCCTAGAGCAATGGATGAGTGGAATGGAGGCCGCTCTCAGTTAAGTGGAATGTGCCAGTGTGTCTGCGGGGGCCGTGGATGCCAGTCACGTGTCTTTGACAGCGCAAGGAGGGGCCGTTCACCTGAGAGGAAATCGTTCCAACACTTTGATGAGCGTACATCAGGTATGGATGTTCGTGGCTATAAAGACTCATACTCTGCTCAGTCCCCTGCAAGACGCAGCCCTAGCCCTGGTCCTCGCAGATGGAACAGCTATGAGGATGACTCGAGAAAGCGAGGAGTGCGTTTCATGTCTCCTAGCGGAGTGGAGCGCCGCAATGGGCCGGGAAACGGGCTTTAGCTGATGTTGCGGCCCAAACACCAGCTATGCTGCCTGTGGGCCCTGTAATGGACAATGTTGATGATGGTGACTCAATTTCAAAAGACATCAATTTGATTGTGGATGCTAGCCAAGAGCTGGTGTCATATGTGAGAGGAGTAATTGAAGGTGTGGAGGTTCAGATGTTAGTGGACTCTGGTTCCAGTGTATCCCTTATGAGTGCCGATTTCCGTATGTCAATTCCATCACTTCGTAATCGGCCCTTGAAAAAGGACTATGTATCAGCACGTGCTGTGAATGGACAAATGCTAGATACACTTGGCACCATAACAATAACATTTCAGCTGGGAACTGAGTCGTGGCAGCATGTATTTCATGTGCTAAGAGAAACCACACAGACTGTGTTGCTGGGCTGGGACTTTTTGTTGAGGAACCATGCTTTACTGGACCTCAGCCGTGCTAAGCTACAACTGTGGGACATCTCAGTTCCTCTCCTTACCAGCAAAGATTTTGTTCCATTGTGCTGCAACGTGTCGCTGGCCACCGCTATGAACTTACCACCACTCAGTGAGTCAGTTGTGGCAGTTAAAGTGTGTACACCCAACGCAGCCCATTTGCAGTGTGACTTTGTTGGCTATCTGGAACCGAATGTGGCAGATTCTTCCGGTCTAGTGGTTGCTCACACAGTCGCCATGGTTCACAATGGACTGACAAATGCTCGGGTTTTGAATCCTACTGGACAGGACATTTCATTGAAACCAGGTATGCACCTGGGTGAGTTTTACACAATTGATGACTCCGATGTCCAGCTGTTTCATGCTCCGGTTGACGTAGCTGCAGCGACCTTTTCCAGGGTCGCGCCTCCTGTGTCATTGGATGAGTCACCTATTTCTGAATCTGAGAGAGCTGCGCTTTCAGCATTACTGTTGGAATACAATGACATCTTCAGCCTCTCCAAACGGAATTCCAGTAGATGTACGCTAGTAAAACATCACATCAGAACTGGTGAGCAAACTCCTATCAAACAGCGTGCATATCGTGCATCCCCTGAAAAACGGGCTGAGATAGAGAAACAAGTGGCTGGCCTGTTAGAAGATGGTGTCATTGAGGAGAGCTGTAGTCCCTGGGCGTCACCAGTTGTTTTGGTGAAAAAGAAGTGTGGCACATGGCGTTTTTGTGTAGACTACAGGCGATTAAACAGTGCGACTATTAAAGACTCTCATCCTCTACCCCGTGTGGATGACACACTGGACGCGTTGTCGGGTTCAGTGTGGTTCAGCACACTAGATTTCTCCAACGGTTACTGGCAGGTGGAAGTTGCTGAAGAGGACAGAGAAAAGACGGCCTTTACAACAGGACAGGGCCTCTATCAGTGGCGGTCCATGCCGATGGGCCTATCCAACGCCCCCGCCACATTTCAGCGCTTAATGGAGCTGGTCCTCAGAGGGCTCCCGTGGCACATCTGCATGGTATATCTCGATGACATTTTAATTTATAGCAAAACTTTTGAAGAACACCTGTCTAGCCTGAAAGAGGTGTTTTCAAGAATCCAATCTGCTGGTTTGAGACTTAATTCAGGCAAATGTCACCTTGCCAGAGATCACGTGGTCTTTCTTGGCCATGTCGTTTCTCAAAAAGGTCTTCAACCTGATCCAAAGAACACCGTGAAAGTCTTGAACTGGCCAATTCCTCGTTCTCCTTCTGAGGTGAGAGCCTTTGTGGGACTGTGTTCCTATTACAGACGATTCGTCAAGGATTTTTCTAGACTCGCTGCCCCACTAAACCATCTTGTCGGGAAAAATGTGCCCTTTGTGTGGAATGCTGAGTGCGACAAATCATTTAACCTTTTAAAAAGTGTGTTGTCGTCTGATCCTGTTGTGGTATTGCCTGACTTCAGTGTGCCTTTTAAAATCTACACTGATGCATCCAACCTGGCTGTAGGTGCAGTTCTTGCCCAGGACAGAGATGGCCTCGAACATGTGGTCGCATATGCAAGCCGGGCATTGAATTCCACACAAAGACGTTGGTCGACCTTTGATCGTGAGTTGTGGGCTATTGTGTGGGCTGTAAGGGAATTCAAGCATTACATTGGACTTGCCTCATTTACCATTATCACAGACCATCGACCACTCTTGGCACTTCGGCGTATATCCATTGATGATGACCCAACAGGAAGAAGAGGGAGGTGGATTCTTGAGCTTGATCCATTGCATTGGGTCATTGTACACAAAGATGGAAAAAAACATAAGAATGCCGACGCGCTTTCTCGCCGCCCTGACGAAGCTGAGGCCAGTGTTAAGGAGGTACTGGAAGTGAATGTGGTGAGTTCTAGTCAAACAGATAACATTCTATGTTCCTCTGAGGTCACCGATTCGGCAGAAGATGTGACCACTATCAACTCAAATGACAATTCAGACTGCATGTCTTCCATGAATGTTTTGTCACACAGCTTATCAGACATTAGGGCTATGCAGCATGCTGACCCTGATATTAAGACTGTGTTAAACTGGGTGATGCAATCCCAAAGACCATCCAGGAGAAATCTAAAAGAAGCTTCTCAGTGTTTGCGGAAGCTTTGGACTGAATTTAACCGTCTTTCTATTATTGATGGACTGTTATGCCGGTCAGTTTTGTGTCCCCTCACAAGTGGCTCTGTAGTCCAAATGGTTGTACCCTCTACTCTAATTTCGGATGTTCTTTTACAGCTGCATGGGGCCCCAGCTTCTGCCCATTTCTCTTCGGAGCGTGTGTGGGAACGGGCGAGACAATTTTGTTACTGGCCTTCTATGTACAGGGACATCAAAGCATGGTGTGAGCAGTGTAAGGCATGTCAGACACGGCGTGGTCCAGTTCCAGCCCACTGTGCACCTATGGGTGGTTCCCATTCAGTACGGCCATTTGAAAGAGTGGCTATGGACATCTTAGAGCTGCCTGTGACTTCAAAAGGAAACCGGTATGTGCTGGTTGTCGAGGACTACTTTACTAAATTTGTCAACCTGTATGCTTTGCTTAATCAGTCAGCACAGACAGTAGCACGTTGTCTGTTTGAGGACTATGTTCTGATTCATGGCGTTCCAGAGACTTTGCATTCGGACCAGGGTCGTCAGTTTGAGGCGGAGGTGGTTCAGAATCTCTGTCATCTGCTGAGCATTAAAAAGACACGCACCACTCCCTACCATCCGCAGTCGGACGGTATGGTTGAACGATTTAATCGGACTCTGATTGATCAACTGGCTAAGACTCTTTTGACCTATGGAGGTGAATGGGACGATTATGTGAAGCATGTGGCTTTTGCGTACAACACAACAACTCACTCCAGCACTCGTTTCACACCTTACTTCTTGACTCACGGCCGGGAAGCACGGGTCCCTGCTGATGTACTGTTACCCACCCGTGCTCTTGACTCTCAGATGTCAGCATCACATGCTGAGTTTGTTTCCAAATTGCTGACAAAACTGAACTCTGCCTTTAGCAGTGCACGGATGCACGGTGAGGCAGCTCACGACCGCCAAAAACTGTACCATGATGTTGGATGGCGTCACCAGCCCTATCATGTAGGTGCCATGGTGTGGCTCCACAACCCAGTGGAGAGCCGCATGAAACTGGCACCCCATTGGAAGGGACCGTATAAAATAGTGCAGGTCATGGATTCATGTGGGGAACAGGGACTGACTTACCGTATTGTAGATCCTTTTGACTCTGGTGAGAGGGCGCAGGTCGTGCATTACAATAGGATGCGGCCTTACACATTGCCCGTTTCTCTTGTGTCACAGAATCAGACGTTGTCCAATGTTCCGGACTCACAGCCTGAGTCTCTTCCCCTGGAGTCCAGAGTTTCTGGTGGAGAGGAGTGTGTTTCTCCCCAGAAAGATCTGAGTGCTTTGTCTGACTCGCCATGTTCAGTTAAGGGGTCCGAGCAAAACATGAGTAGGACTGGGAGAGTTCATAGACTTCCGGGCCATTTGAAAGATTTTGTTTTGTATTGAAGTAACTGTGTACCTCTGTTTAAGGGGTGTGCATGTTTGAATTTGTTCTATTGTAGAACCTGTTGTAACTGTAAAAAAAAAATACAGTTATGTTCTATTAATAGGCTTGTTGCAGTAACGATAATGTGCTATGTACTCTATTTTGTTTCATTGTACAAGGCTGTTTATTGTTTATGACAGTTAATGTTGTTATTCTGAAACATAAACGGGGACGTTTATTTTGTGAGGGGGGGACGTATGTAACAGACTTTGTTAGACTCTGTTATGACGCACTAATTCTGGATAGACTGGCGCTCGTTGTAGGTATATGCGCAATGTATTCTTCCCCTAGGGGCTTGCCGTATATAGGCATGGGCATGCGCACTTGATACTAGGGTGTCTGGTTTTTTTTTGAAGTGTGTGATCTGATGTCTAATAAAGAGAAGAGAAGTTCCAACTGCTACCGTTTTATTGTTTTCTTATTTCTGAAGTGTTAGGCGAACCCTGTATGAACGCTCGGTCACAGTTATAACGTTACACTGGTTTGAGAGTCTGGGATGTGTTGACTTACAGTATATAAGCTATGATTAGTTGCATAGGCAGTGCAGCCAGAAGAAGCCAGAAATGTTTTGTGGCCCATACCTAGTGTGTTAAGAGAAGAGAAGGTTAACCAGTCTGATCTCACCCTTTGGATTTTTTTTATTTCTAAACATTTTGTTCTTAACAAGTTACATGCCATAAGTTGGTCAGTTGCTTCACATTTACACTAAAGATTTTGAGCATTTGAATGTTTTGGAAGTGCACTGTAGTGTTAATTTCATTTGGACGCAATAGTTTATTTGCATTTAGCTACACTGATGTTTTGCACTAAATAGGAGTGTGTCAATTTTAGTGTTGTGAGTTATATCATTTTCTATATTTGGTCTTATGTCTTGGTATGTTCAAGCTACAAGGCAAAATAAAGAAATTAACTAAAAGTAAAGCATTCTTGGTGTTTTTGTCATGTTGCAATAGCCTGTTTACACTGATTATATACCAAAATCAAAGCTGATACTGTATACTAATAGATAAAGGAGTCATAATAACATATGGTACCACTTTATTTTGATAGTCCACTTTATACATTCGACTAACTATAAGTAACTTTGCAGCTGCATGTCAACTAACTCTCATTAGAGTATTAGTAGGCTTAATATCTGCTAATTATGTATTATAATATCTTATTTTGTTGGTTCCCCAACAGATATTCTACTGACTATAAGTAACTTGGCAACTACAAGTCAACTTGTTCTCCAAACCCACATCATAACCTGACAGTCTACTACAGTCTACGAATACTCTAATGAGAGTTAGTTGACATGTAGTTGAAAATGTACATGGTTAGTAGAATGTCTAAAGTGGACTATCGAAATAAAGTGTAACCTAACATATTACATGCTTTGAATTCCTTATATAAAGTTATGCAGTGTTCTAAGCAACCTGGATGGGTCGCTGTACGTGATGCAACGCTTATAACCACAAGAGACTTGAGACTTGACTTGGACTCTAGCTCAAAGACTTGAGACTTGACTTGGACTCTAGCTCAGAGACTTGAGACTTGACTTGGACTCTAGCTCAGAGACTTGAGACTTGACTTGGACTCTAGCTCAGAGACTTGTGAGCATCTCTGCATGATGGTCTTTATTTTAAAGTAGTGTATTAATCTGTATTACCCTGTCCTACAGCTTGAAGAACGCCTGCTTAAGACGGCCAAAGACAAGATGGAACAACTGAGCAAAGTTCTGAGTGGAAGTAAGATGCAAAACCACACTTGTATAATTTTAAGAAATTATTTCCAAGCCATGTTAATGCATGGTCAACCTTGTGTCCTTTCCCTTTGTTATAATTTACAGACTGGAAGTACAGTGTCGAGAGTAAACTTCTACATTTAGCAGCAGTTCAAGTTTAATACTTGTAGACTTTTGAAATTATATTTTAACTCCTGTTTCGCATTACTGTGTTGTTGCAGGAGAAGGAGGCCCTCCAGACACCACTTTCATTGAAGATGCAGTGCACGAACTACTTAAAACTCGTCGTATTCTCAAGTGCTCTTACCCTTATGGCTTCTTTCTGGAGCCCAAGAGCACAAAGAAGGAAATATTTGAACTTATGCAGGTTAATAACACCGATGCTAGTCTTGGGATATTCTTAACGTGTGAGTTCTGAGTTAGTGACAACGCAGCACTCTTATTTTTCTTGTTAGACTGACTTGGAAATGGTGACTGAAGATCTTGCACAGAAAGTCAACCGGCCTTACCTCCGCACGCCTCGGCATAAGATAATCCGCGCCGCCTGCCTGGTGCAGCAAAAGAGGCAGGAGTTTCTGGCATCTGTGGCAAGAGGTGTGGCCCCCAACGATTCACCCGAAGCCCCTCGACGCAGGTAAGAGCCTCTTCCCCAATGATAGACTTCTTAAAATAGTTTAAATAAAAACTGCATTTGCAACCAAGAATGGTGAGACTTTAGAAAGGCTGCATTACCTGCAATGGCAAAATAGCTTTTTGGCTGTTGGTTAACATCTGGTTAACATCCTGTCCGTGCCACACAAATCTATGCGTATGGCCTAGGTGATGTCAGATGAAAAAAGGCAAGTCGTTTCAAGAATGAGTCAATGACATGTTGCTAATTTTTTGTCCAGGTCTATTAATCTATTTTAAAACCCCTCAAAACACATACAGTTACTTAAATACACATCTTCTATGATTCAGTTTTTTTCTAAAGGAATATTTTATATATGTTTATTATTTTGTTGTAAATTTTTTTTTTTTGCGAAATGTGACTTTATGAAATGTAATGTTTAATTTCTGAATAAAAAATGATGGTAACACTTTACAATAAGGTTCATTTATTAAACATTAGTTAATGTATTATTAACTAACATGAACTAACAATGAGCAATACATTTGTTACTGTTTTTGTTAATCTTTGTTAACGTTATTTAATACAAATCCAGCTGTTCATTGTTTGTTCATGTTAGTTCACAGTGCATTAACTAATGTTAACAAGATTTTAATAAAGTATTAGTAAATGTTGAAATTAACATTAACAAAGATTAACAAATGCTGATGAAGTATTGTTCATTCTTATTTAATGTTAACTAATGTAGTTAGCTAATGAACCTTATTGTAAAGTGTTACCAAAATGATTTATATATATATATATATATATATACACATTTTTTTAACCTTTTTTTCTGTCTACCATATTATTAAAAAAAAATCTTTTTAAAAAGATGAAATTATTGAAAGGAATTACTTAAGTCATTTGGCATATTTATAATAATCTTTTATAGTCTTTTATTATCATTGTGGGATAAAAAGTTGCGAAGCAGTTTTGTTAATATATTATACACATCTAAAAATCTTTCGTCCACCAAATTAATGCCATATGATGCAGTCAGCATAGAGGACAAAAGCAAAATGGGAACATTTGAAGCTGTATTTAATATTTTTTTGAATAATTATGATGATGTATATTTGCTGGTCATACCACATTTGTAGTCTTTACATTTTAAAAAAACTATATGAAGCCAACATACATACAGGGTACATTCCTAAGAACTTATCGTGTGTTTTAACACGATTTAGATTTTAAAAGACATAGCAAACTCATTTCTATGAAATGAAAGAAAATAGGTTCGATTTTGATTAAGTATGGTTTTTCAGCACTAGTATTTACAGCACTAGAGCTGCTTTTCCTTTGTAACAGAACTACACCTGCAGCCTAAAAATTTATAGAATCACATGGAACTTCATTCTTTTTTTGTTTGCGTCTACAGTTTTGCTGGTGGAACATGGGACTGGGAGTACTTGGGTTTCGCCTCTCCCGAGGTAACTGTTTTGTTTTGCTTGTTTTGAGATTTTGGCCATAGTTTGTGTAAGAGTGTCTTTGTTAAATGTATATTTGTGGCCAACTTAGTTTGTGAAGGGTGCCTGAGGTTTTGCCAGTGCATACCGGCCTATAGAACAAGATGTAGTCTTGTTGCAGCAGTTGTGAATGTGTAAGACCTGTAATGTGCAGTTAAACAGTGTACCGCTATTTTGTTCTAATCTAAAGATCCAGAGGAATCATGCCTTTCTCGGGGGAATTGATCCGAGAGAGCACTGTCAGTATACAGGAAGCCATCCGCAGGTATTAAAGAATCCTCATTAGACCCCATCTCTGGAACGGCTGAACGAACCGTGGAATGGCACCTGTCATGTACACCCCATCACTTATGTCATTGTCAACTTTTAGTTGGTTGCATGTTTTCTTTTTTTCTGTTCATACTCTATTGCCGCTGTTTATATATTTCAGACGATTGCTGTGCACTCCAGATTAAGAATTCCGATGCTGTTTTAACATCATCTGGAAAGCGAGATCTTTTTCGTTTCTGTTCATTTATCCCGACATGGTCTTCTAAAAGATGCCTTTGGTCTTGTAACTTCAAAAGGCAGATTCCTGCTTTTTGCTTTGACTATGCCATGAAAGGTCATGAAAAATGCGTTTTTGCAGACATTCCAAGGTGAACCAGGTCACCACTTCAGTCTGTATCGCTGGTTGCTGCTCTTCTTTTGAAATCATGTATGCAGGCTTGCAGTTTCATTTTGCTCTGGATTTATGGCTTGTAGAAAGAGGAATAATAGTGATGCACTTTATTCAACTTTTTATTATTGATGCTTGAGTGTTACCTCTCAGGAATGTTTTGTCCTAATGTATGTATTTATTTTTTTGAGTTTGCTACCGTTGTTGCATGCTTATTGCATTCAGCTTCAGTTTGGTTTAGATTTGTCAACCTATGGTGAAAATAAAGTTTTAAGAAGTGCAGTATGGATCAGTTATGATCTGTGATTAAATCCTAAATTGATTATACCAACATATATACACCTGAAATGCCATATCTTGTTGGTTTTGTAGTAAATTTCATTACAGAGTGTCAGACTGTTTGAATATGTACGTGATTTGAGGAGCTTAAAGGATTAGTTCTCCAAAAAAATGAAAATCCTGGCATTTACTCTCCCTCATGTCATTCCAAACTTGTTTGTCTCATTAATTTCACAAAATACAGGAGAGAAAACCTTTAGTAATGCTGGTCACTCTTTTCCATGCAGTTACAATGAATGAGACTGAAGCTTTCAAGGACACAAAACAACATAAAATTATTATAAAAGCTGTCCTTATTGATTATATTATATTGTAAGTCTTCTGAAGCCATGTGATAGCTCTGTGTAATTTTTGCACATTATTAAAAAGGGTCTTCACAGGACTCGAACAACATGGTTAGTACTAATAACAGGATTACATTTTTGGTTGAACCATTCCTTTAAAAGGCTTTTTGACTTTCCTCAAAACGTCTTATCTGTTATTGTGAAATGATAAAGCCAAAAGCCCTGAACATTGATGTCAGTCACACAACAGAATTTCTGTAGAGAGGTGTAGGGTACTTCTGAAAGTCTGACTTGTATTCACAGGGTCCAGTGGGAATGCTGGTACACCTCATGAAGCAGCTTTGAAATGGGGTTGTGTGCGGTTTTGTGTTATAGGAGTATGCCGAATTCCAGTACAGACGCAGACACAGGCAACGCAGGAGAGGAGACATGGCCAGCCTCCGCAGTAACACACCCGACCCTGATGACCCAGGCCATGGCACTTTAGGTACGTTTTGTGAACGTGTTCTCATTTTGGAACCCATATTTGGTCCCACATGTGTGCATTTGGTGCTCCATAGTTCAAGCAGCTGCAAGTACAGTTTCATGATTTTTTTGCTGTTCTTTCCACACTAAGCTCAGCAAAAAATGCGCTGTAAATCTATTTATCACTTTCTTTTGCAATATAGGCTTTTATGAAGCAGCATAAATTCATGGAATTAATCTGTCAGGCCTGATATTCTACATATGATGACACTAACAACACTTTCTATATATTAAATCTGACTGAATCCAAATTGTTTAAGCAGTTTATACACAAAGTTTGTGTTCCATTCTGTGTTGATAACATGAGGTGGATTACATCCAAATGATAATTAGAGGGTTTCTAATCTCCTGTGAAAAACAAGTACACTTTCTTTTTAAAAGTGTACTTAAGTGGGTTGAAAATGTAAGTGATGAACGTGTACTTTACTAAAATTATAACATCTGCAATTAGAGTTTTGTGCAAGTTTCTACAAGTACACATTCAATACAATGAAGCACACTTTTTTTGTTGCAAGGAATAGTTCACATAAAGTATGTTTACATGCACTTTAAAAGGTTGATTGATTTCATTGAAAATTTTGACTAACTGACCTAGATAATGTAGCTCAGCTTCGTCCATGGTGTATTCACCATAACCGGACTCCAACTGGCCTCGGTCCTGTGCACTTGCACCGAAAGACAGCGGTGGTGCATTGTGTTTTTAATATTTCAAATATTTGATTACGTCAATTAGTGTTATCACGGTACCAAAATTACAGTAGCCGGTACCAATACCAGTAAACATTTCACAGTTCTCTGTAGTCGGTAACTATTTTGGTACCAGAGCAAAAATGATTGGAACTATTTTACTATTTTAACTATTTGAAAATAAAAATATTTAATTTAAATGGGTTTATTATTTATGATGATAATAATTATAAGTAAATAATACATTTAAACAGCATAGCCTTCAGAAACATACACATTACATATTACAAGTGGCAGGTCTATTACACTCATAATACTTTATTCACATCTATTTTGACATAGTATCTGATTGTTTTGTCCCGTCTGTTCCTATAGTTATATCACTGTCAATCATTGTAATTTCGTATTCAGTCGCGCATTTAAATACTGTTGTATATCTAGAAACTTTGCAGTGTACTGAGCAGCATGAAAAACAAAACCTTTTTTCAAATCGTATATAAGTTATAAGCAGAAAGCGAACAAAGAGCGCTCCCTTTATAAACACTGCAGTTAATCACTTCAAGGCTACGTTCTGCACCTGCTCACTATGATCTACACTCCTTCGAAAACTCATGCTATAAACAAAAATCTGTCTACACTGCACAATGTTGGTAATAATGAAAGGATTCGCAAGTGTGCAGAACTATAAAGCGTGTGGTGATCTAAAACTTTGGTGTTTTGAGCGAGGTTGAGTGGATTCTGACTAACTTAAACACCTCTGATTGGCCACTGAGTTCACTCGCTCAACAGATACAATCGATCGGTTAGATTTTTGACAATTTTTTGAATGAAAGATCAAAATGATAAACGATGCAGATTTATTTTTTACAGACAGTTTTGATCATGTTTACCAGGGCGTCCCCTTGGAATTATAAGGTTCTATCTGACATTTTTGTCAAAATTGAGTTATTCACATATTCTTATTCTGTGACAACTTATTTACATTATGTGATGTGTTTTTTTAAATTTTGTCCATTGTGGGACTTTTTATTGAAAAAACAAAAAGGTTCTATCTACAAAATCGAACTCTAACTTGGCTCTATAAGGTTCTATCTGCGTGAGCCAATCAGCACTTCGAATGCACAGAAGAGGACCAATCAGAATCAACTTTATATGTCATGTCGCCGGATTTTTCCTTGAAGACAAAAAGAAACCCCATAAAGGCATAATGCTATACATTTACAGTAAATTAAATATTCACTAAATTGTGTAGTGTTATGAAGTGGCTTCAATTTGGCCATTTTCTTTATAGTGTATTGGTTATTATTATTAATTATCAATGAGGTTATTATTAATATTATTATTATAGTTATTATTATCTGAATTATACAAATATTCAGTGAGTAAATTGAATATTTAAAAAAAACATTTAACATGCAAGTGTGTGTGTGTGCGCGAGTGTGTGAAAGTGTGTGTGTGTGTGCGAGTGTGTGAAAGTGTGTGTGAGTGTGTGTGTGTGTGTGTGTGCGTGTGTGTGTGCGCGCGCGTGTGTGTGTGTGTGTGTTGGTGTGTGTAAGAGAGTGTGTGTGCGTGTGCGTGTGCGTGTGTGTGTGTGTGTGTGTGTGTGTGTGTGAAAGTGTGTGTGTGTGTGTGAAAGTGTGTGACTGTGTGTGTGTGCGAGTGAGAGAGTGTGTGTGTGTGTGATTAAAAAATTAGTCTGACATTTTTTGTGATCATAATAGTCAGTGAATCATTTTTCAATGATTATTAAACTTTATGAATTAATTTGCTGAAGCATGTCGATTTTCTTGTAGTTTTTAACGTCTTAAAATGTCTTAATTTTTACAATTTTAAGCCTTAAAGGTCAAATAGTTAACAATTTCATTGATGGGGTCTTAATTACAACAATAAACGTTAGCATGTTATTTCAGCCATACTGATGTCTAGAGAGAAAGCCATTTCACCTGGCCCACTTTAGCTGGAAGAAAGTCCTGCTCAGATGTATTACAGTAGCTGCTTTCTGTCTAAACAAAAGAAAGATTAAAGTAACAATTTCTGCAATAATGTGTTTAATTACCCACCAAATTGGTAACGAAAATTAAGATTCTGCACTGGACAAAATATTTAGACCTACCTTGCTTAATTTGAAATGTCCTAAATACATGGAAGTGCTAAAAAATATGAAATAAATGACATAGAAAGGATAAAATTTTACTTTCTAACACATGTTGAGACATTGTTACAACATTAATTTTATATTTAATGTTCAAATAATGTTTTGGCAGATAGAACCTTATAATTCTAAGCGAAAAGTGTTTTTTTAGAATTAGAAGGTTCTATCTGCGTTTGACCCATTCCAAAAAAACCCATTTACAAATTTGAGAGGATTTTGATGTTGTATATTTAGAATACATTTAGGGTCCCTGTTATTTTCATGTTTGAAAGAAACTTGTTCCCCATATACATTTTCCTATATGTAATGCAAAAACTTTGAAGCTCAATATCTCAAAACTGCTCAGAACGCAGATAGAACCTTATAATTCCAAGGGGACGAGGGGTACCATCAATTCTGAGCACGACTGTATCTCTGTGATTGTCTACAATGAATGATAAACGCTTCAAAAACACGTTGTAAATGGAAACATTTTACGCTCTTCACATCCCTTAGACAGACACAGGGGGGCATTTGAAAGCAGCCGCCTATCAGTGGGTACCGAATGTACTCAGTAACACCGGTACTGCAGAAATGCTGGTATCGTCATGTTTTTACAATGTTTTACATGTTACATGTTCAGTACTGACTTGGTAACGAAGTACCTGTACTTTTGACAAACCTAACGTCAATTATTTGAGATGAAGACGAGCTCCACTGCACAAAAGCCCACTGTAGATTATAACCTATACTCAGGGTCACACTGCTGATTTATAATTTATGGCTTATATGTGGTATCTCAGAAATCACTGTGATAGCAAATCCTAGCATTTTTTCCACCATCCCCCTAGCAAACTAACTAAACAAAAGATTTTCCATTTGTCTTGTCTTACAGACACACAAGAAATTGGTGGTGGTCACAGACAGGGTCTACCCATGGTGAGTCGAGACCCTTTTACCAGAGGTTCTGTGGTAGACTGTCACAGGCGTTTATCCTCAGCTGACAGTAACGTCTGAACTTTTACCCTACAGCCTCACAGTTCCCTGGATGAGGATGATCCAAATATCCTGTTGGCCATCCAGCTGTCCCTGCAGGAGTCTGGGATGACTGGAGGCATGGCTGGCGTTGATGCTCAAGAGATCCTCGCTAACGAAGCATCTCTGGGGGCCATCGGAACATCCCTGCCCACGCGGCTGGACCCGGTGCTGTGCGGGATAGACGTGCCCCGTGCTGCCCTGAGCAGCTCCGAGCTGCTAGAGGTGGGTGACAGCCTAAAGAAGCTGGGTAATATCAGTGGCCAAAATGTCCCTCTGCGTTTCGACAATCTCAACAATCCCAGCAATTCTTCCCGTGAGTCTGCAGAGGGCCCCTTCCAAGCTCCTTCGGGACGTATGGAAACCTCTGATTTCGGTTCAGAAAACGCCAACCTTCTAGGCAACATCATGGCATGGTTTCACGACATGAATCCGCAGAATATCAGTTTGGTTCCTTCAGCCGGTGCAACTCACCAGGAATTCGGTGCTCAGTCGGTGAGGATGATGTCAGAGCAGACCGAGTGCGCCATTCCAGAGTGGACAACAGGGGGCGATAGAGAGGCGGAGTTTGACTCCGGTATCGGCGCGGGAGAGCGTGAGCCTATCAGGCCGACACAGCTGGACCTGGTAGGTCTTGATATGTGTCCGGTACCTCTTTCGGCCATCGAGTTGGGCGATACTCCGAGCGGTTCGAACCCGTGTCACTCCGATACCCCAAAATGTGACTCAGACCCTGACCAGCCTAGCAGTAGCTCCTCTGAATGGGAGGGTCAAGTACACCTTGTATGAAATATTGACTTCACCCAACCACTTTTAAACCACTTTTTTGACGAAGTAGCTGCCGGATTCTAAACCTGAGGAACAAGATCAATCCTGACGAGAAGCTTTGTATTGTCAGATATGTAGAAATTGAAACCGAGATATGTAAAGAGGTCGTTTTTGAGTACTCATTCAGTACTCGTGTGTTTCAGGGCTTTGTGCTTGTGAGGCATGTGTTCTTTGCTCACTAAAAACTCTTTTCCAATCCTGGAGTGTTAAACACTTTTAAAGGAGTCAGCAACTGAACTAGAAAGTAATATGAAGACAAGATAGGAAGTGAGGTAGCCAGAAAAATCTACTGTATAGAACAGGACGGTATTGGGTGGGAGTTCCTGTTCTTCTGATTAAAAAGGATGTAAAAGATACTGTAGGTGCCAAAAACACTGGCTTGCACACGCCGAGTGGAGGGTGTGCTGATCGTGCCTGCTGCTGAGGGCCTAGTCGCCCTATTGAGTACACTATCCTTCCTCTAAACTAGACCTGTAGTATACAGAGAAGTACACATCAGCATCAGGCTCACAAGAGCTGTGAGGCTGATAATAACAGAAACTAAATGAACAGTAATTCTAGTTGCGGACAACATTTCTTTTTCTATCAAACGTAATCACTGTAATCCGTCATTGGTTAATTCGAACGGAAAGTACCGGCGAGGTTCTACTCGGTTCAGGAGCGCCGCACCAGCTCTGGAAAACGTTTTCTCTTTGCAACTTATCACAGTGCCTTTTCTGTGAAACTTCTCTTTATTTATAGCCTCTCTCTTGTGCTTAGAGCCCGGAGTGTGGGAAGTTCCAATACACATTGTACTTGTACTTTCAGGTGGCGATTAAGCAAACTGAGCTCAATGTTTTTTTAAAAGACATTTTTTATATATGTTCGGTTCATTTCGCATGCCTCTGGCCCCTTCCCCCAGGGTGTTTTTAAAGCAATTATTTAATAAAACAAAATAACGAAAAAAAAAAGAAAAGAATAAAATTTGCGGATTATATCCATCTACTATACATTGTGTGTTAAGATGTGATATCCACATGGAAACAATGTGTAGAAATCAAATTCTCAGAAAAAAAAAAAAATCCATAGATGTGGTCCAGGTGCATCTCTGATAGAAAATTATGAATACGTGTATTTTACTTTAGTTTTTTTAAAACGTACCACTTTTTGAAACCATGTTTTCTCCTCAGAATATCTAAGGTCTAATCTATGGATCATTCGGTAGAGGCTGAGACGTCTCAATGTGGTGTCCAGAAGCTGTTTTAGCTGCAGATTTACAGTACATTTCTACACATGGTGGAGCTTACCCACAATTACCATTTTTTTTTACGATTAATTTAACTGTGGTTTTTCTCGACAATAAATTATGGAAATGAAATCTCTATTTATTTCAAATTGAATGTCCTTAAAAATGAATGAAGATAAAGATAAAGTGGATGACAATGAAAAAAAAAAGCAAAAACAAATGAGCACCAATATATATATTTTTGTTGTGTATATCAAACTGTAATAACACAGTGCCACTTTTCAATATCTGCTTATTACTTAAAATGCGACTGCTGAAATGATTGTTTAAAGCCATTCAGATAAATTAACAGAATGTTTTTGATTTGCTTTTATTTTCTTACGAACACCTGGCCAACTTATCATCAGACGAAACTATCATTTCAGCTAAATCAGAGCAGCACTGAGTTTTAAGCACTTCAGAAAAATTGCACATAATTAGTTCACATTCAGCCTTGGAATAACCCATTTTAGCTCATAGGTTTGCCGTTATAGTGGCAATTTTAGCTGTGGGTTTGATCGAGCAGACACCTGATGCTTTGCTGTGGGCTTGATGTCATATGTATGTTTAAAATGACCTTATGTCCTAATGCAAGTATTGCATAGCATAAAACTTTACAAAGTGAAAATGAAGGCAAATCTGTTTGCGAAGTGTTTTTTGGAATCATTCCATTAGTTTGGAGGAGTGCACACATGATTTTTTTTCCCTGTATGTACAGTATGTATGTGTGATCAGAATCAGTTAAGCTCACTAAATCGCAGTATTTCTTCGGACTAATGTATATCGCCAAAGGTGGAGGTGGAGCTCAAATCTGTTCAAATGAAGCATATGGTAGATTTTGAACATCTGTCCAAACATGACAAACAAAGTGAATGACAAAAGTTGTCCTGTATGTGACAGTATGCTGTGCATTAAGTAATTATAATAAAAATAGATCATGTTTTCTTGACAAAAGTGTCAAGGCTATTGTTTGGGAGAGGGGGGTGGCTATTGTTTTTGGGGTGAGTAAAGCACATTTTGTAACCCATTACAGATTTTATATTGTTAAACATCTAATCCTTGAAATGGTATTTGCACTTTCATAATCTCTACTTGATACATTCCCAATTTATATGGAAAATACAAATGTGTGATGTTTGCCCAATGAATTGGACCGATTTGAGTGTGAATCTGAATAAAGTTGCTAAGACAAGTTCATTTGTAAAAGTGGTAGTATTCTTTGAACAAAACATACAATGAAAGCCCCGGTCCAAAACCAACATGCGGAGAGAAAAAACTATTATTATTATTATTATTTAATTTGTAACCTCAAGACTTTCCTTCAGATTAGTTTATTTGTATCTAATAATAATATTTGCGATTGTATAATATATTTTTATAATTCAATTTGTATCATATCATGATAATAATAATAAATGTCAGTGTTAAATTATAAAAAAGTATAGTATATATAAATCCAGTACAAATAAATCCACAGCTAGCTGTGCATAAAGCAATTTTAATGCACGACGGCATGCAGGCAAAGAACTATGGAGCGAATTATGTGCCAAAACCTCACAAACACACAAAACGTGTTTTACTCACACCCAATGATTCACAAACAAACTCAATGTGGTTTGTAAATACAAAACATCACTCACAAACTAATGCATATTGTTCTGCAAATAAAAAACGTACCTATCAAACAAATACAGTATGTTTTACATATACATAGAAACGTATTTCTTCAATGACAAAAATATCATCCAAGTACAAACTAAAATCTTTCAAGTACAAAACAAAATTCTACAAGTACGAAACAAAAACCTTCATGTACAAAACAAAATTCTACAAGTACAAAACGAAAACCTTCAAGTACAAAGCAAAATTCTACAAGTACAAAACAAAATTCTACAAGTACAAAACAAAATTCTACAAGTACGAAAAACTGTCACGTGACTTTTGACACTATTTTTCCGCGTCCAGGCAGATTTTCTCACAAATGCAGTTGAGCAACTTCCTCTTCTAGAACAGTAGATGGCGCTAAGATAGGGGATCAATTTCGCGCTAGTCTCTCGGGAGAAACACTGATGTGAAACGCGTGCTTGCCTTTGCCCATGGGAAAATGAGCGGTGAACAGGTGTGTTTCTGTCTTACTTTATCTATAATTAACCTTATTGAGGTTTTGGTAAATGTTTATTATATAGACAGAAATCCACATTATCACTTAGTAGCACTCCACTCTAGGATAAGGGAATCTATAAACTGAAAGCTCTGCCATCATGTTGCTTTTTACATTTTTGTAAAAACGTTTCATTTACTGAATGAGTCTATTTCTTTCGTTCTCCATAAATTAATAAGAACATTTAATTTAATTGATAGGGTCCCACTTATTCATTAATTTAGTTGGAATTCAGTCAGCGTAACTGTTAATGTAATAAAATAATGAATGAACAAAACAAACAATATACAATTGTTTCTTAACTTCCCTGTGACGTATTGCCCAAATTATTATTTTAGACAGACAAATGAAACCCTCCTTTCAATTAAATTAAATGTTCTCATTAATTTATGGAGAACGAAAGAAATGGATTCGTTCAGTGTACATAATCACTAATTTATTAATTTCACACGCGTCTTATGTAGATTTTTTTTTTTAAAAGCAACATATGATAGAGCTTTCAGCTTAGATTCCCCTATCCTAGAGAGAGTGAAGTGCTACTAGCGGTAATATGGATTTTTGTCTAGATGTAATAAACATTTTGCAAAAGAAAACCTCAATAAGGTTAATTAGATAAAGTAAGACAGAAACACCTGTCCACCGCTCTTTTTCCTCAGCTGTAGGCAGTGTTGGGAAAACATAGGCTATTTCGTTACAGAATACATGCCCAAAAATGTAATTTGTAACGTATTCCTTTACATTACTCAATCTGAGGGATTAGGTCCGCATTGAATTGCCTTTTATAAATGTAAGAATGCGGCAATCTTATCCTGCTTACTAAACAGGCCTATTCTGGTGGGTGCGGTGGTGACGCGTGTGCCATGTAGGGTGGCACTGCCAATAAAGCACCTTAAAGCTGTCACAAAGAACCGGCAAAAGAATATGAATATGTAAAATATAGCAAGGAGATATTTTAATTGTTTATTAATAAACAAGTGTATTCTTTGTCAGTGTGTCGGCTGAAAACATGAAGTTGACGATGCTGACTCGCGATCTTCGCAGTGAACGCGCCAGGATTAGCCTACATAAGCAGAGAGCAGTCTGTAGTCTTTTTTCTTTCGTTTTGAATTGTTCGTTTAAAAGTAGACATGTCTGTGAGAGAGGCTACCTTATAGTTTGTAGATTGAGTAATGTAACGGAATACGTTACAAATTACATTTTTGGGCATGTATTCTGTAACGAAATAGAACACTGCCTACAGCTGAGGAAAATGAGCGGTGAACAAGTGTGTTTCTGTCTTACTTTATCTAATTAACCTTATTGAGGTTTTCTTTTACAAAATGTTTATTACATCTAGACAAAAATCCATATTACCGCTAGTAGCACTTCACTCTCTCTAGGATAGGGGAATCTAAGCTGAAAGCTCTATCATATGTTGCTTTAAAAAAAAAAAAATCTACATAAGACGCGTGTGAAATTACTAAATTAGTGATTATGTACACTGAACGAATCTATTTCTTTCGTTCTCCATAAATTAATGAGAACATTTAATTTAATTTAATTGAAAGGAGGGTTTCATTTGTCTGTCCAAAATAATAATTTGGGCAATACGTCACAGGGAAGTTAAGAAACAATTGTATATTGTTTGTTTTGTTCATTCATTATTTTATTACATTAGGCTAACAGTTACGCTGACTGAATTCCAACTAAATTAATGAATAAGTGGGACCCTTTCAATTAAATGAAATGTTCTCATTAATTTATGGAGAACGAAAGAAATAGACTCATTCAGTAAATGAAACGTTTTTACAAAAATGTAAAAAGCAACATGATGGCACTGGCAGAGCTTTCAGTTTATAGATTCCCTTATCCTAGAGTGGAGTGTTACTAAGTGCTAATGTGGATTTCTGTCTATATAATACCAAAACCTCAATAAGGTAAATTATAGATAAAGTAAGACAGAAACACACCTGTTCACCGCTCATTTTCCCATGGGCAAAGGCAAGCACGCGTTTCACATCAGTGTTTCTGATATTCTGATCGGTGTTTCTCCCGAGAGACTAGCGCGAAATTGATCCCCTATCTTAGCGCCATCTACTGTTCTAGAAGAGGAAGTTGCTCAACTGCATTTGTGAGAAAATCTGCCTGGACAGTGTCAAAAGTCACGTGACAGTTTTTCGTACTTGTAGAATTTAGTTTTGTACTTGTAGAATTTTGTTTTGTACTTGTAGAATTTTGCTTTGTACTTGAAGGTTTTTGTTTTGTACTTGTAGAATTTTGTTTTGTACATGAAGTTTTTTGTTTCGTACTTGTAGAATTTTGTTTTGTACTTGAAAGATTTTAGTTTGTACTTGGATGATATTTTTGTCATTGAAGAAATACGTTTCTATGTATATGTAAAACATACTGTATTTGTTTGATAGGTACGTTTTTTTATTTGCAGAACAATATGCATTAGTTTGTGAGTGATGTTTTGTATTTACAAACCACATTGAGTTTGTTTGTGAATCATT